AAAAAGTGATACTGGACTTTTTTACTCCGTTCTCCGGTCTCAAGAATAAATATATTGTTACAATAGCGCCCTGATTTTTGTTAATTTCATGATTTTGAAATTTCCAAAGGTCGATAAGTTAACAAAAGTTAGGACACTATTGTAATAATATATTCTTAAAACTAAACAGAGTAAAAAAGTAGTACTATTTTTTTTCCGACAAATAATTAGCGAGATATTATAAGTTAAATGTTAAAAAAGTTACCAAGTTTTTCTTAAATATCTCGAAAAATATTAGGCAAATAAAAAAATGTTTCAGACAAAAGTTGTCTAAATTAATTGATAGAAAAAGATGATATAATAAAAAATTGAGGTTTCCAACATTTTTGCACATTTCCAATGGTTTGTTGCAGCATTACCTAACGAAGTGAACTGAAATGTTTAAAAACGGTTAGGAATAATTTGGAAAAAGAAGCTCCAATACAAGAAACGAAGTAGAATATATTATGTTGTTTTGCGAATAGTTATCGACGATCTATTTGCCGATTGTCGCAACGCTCGGTGAAAATAATTATCAAATATTAATTTAAAAGCTTCACTCTGATTAACTCGTAGCATATAGCGTTATTATTTATCTCTATTTTCTTCATTGTTTATATTATGTTTTCAGAAATGTCCGAAGAACAGGCAACTCGTAACACAAAACGTTATGAGCGGAATAGGATAAGATGACGCATATTCAACAGAATAATGACGGATAAAGTTAGAGAATCTAGCGAGGTATTTAAAATTCAGTAAGAAAATGTATCTTCTGAGAATCGCTAATTGCGGTATTCATAAAAAGCTAGATCTTATATTTAAGATCATTTTAATTTCAACTTAAGGAGGTGCCATACTTTTGAAAACTTTGTCGGTAGAATACTGACTGTTTTCGGTAACATTTACGTCACTGATTGCGCAGCATCACAAATGCTCTTACAATGTAAAAATATATATAAAAATTAATTGAATCACCGCCCGATATATGACAAAAATGACAAAGAATTGCAAATTCAACATCTCGAATTGTCTCAGAGTAAAGATTTGCCCGATACACAAATTCTGTAGCTTATCGAAAGTGCATTTGCTTGCTAAGAAAAATTTCAATGAACATTTAAATAAACTTTTACATCTGAATTTAGAAGCTTAAATATATATACGAAAAAAATAATTTTCAGGAAGACTTCTATGTATGCGTGAAATGTAATAAAGCAAAGCAGCATACATTTATAGAAAATATATTACATGTATTAAATGTAATACATGTACAAGAAATACGAAAAGAAAAGACCGTGTTAATATTTATCTGATGATCGTTCTGACGACCTTCGATATTTAGACTGTCTCTATGTTATCGGTATGTTTGGAGTTTATAATCCATCGTGACAACAGATGAAATTTTTTGATAATAAATCTTTCAGATATATCATATTTGCTGCGTGTAGAAAACAAAGCGTTCAGTGAACGGTTAATGATTATTAGTCTTTACTGTTAGATTCCTATACTTCAGATCAATAACATCGACGAATTACTCAATCGTTGTGCAACCGTTGTGTTTTCTGAACGCAACTATTGTCAATACAGCTAGTGAATCAAACCACACAGCGCCTCAAGATGAACCTAAAATGATTTTGTATGATCAGACTATTGGCTTGTTTATTTTTTTCGAAGAACTAATACTCACTTTCAGAACTTATTAGGAAACAAATATGCAGCCAAGATTCAGTGGAAAAAAGAAGAATAGAGAGAACTGAGACAAAGTGAAGCAGAATATATAGTGGAAATGAACAAACCACATGAATATTGTACTGAGAAACGAACTCTCCTATTGGATATAAATGCGTTGTCAAAAAAGAGTGAACTTGCGAAAACAAATGGATTTCCACCGACAACAAAATTTAATGTCAAAAATGTTTAAATAAAGTTATACTATTTGGCCAGATGAATCTGGTTGGGTTAGGCTATATTTTTATTTACTTAATAAATTGAAAATTTGGGACTATAAGTTTTATTCACGATTTCAAAAACGTTTAAATAAATTATATATTTCAACACGTATTGTGCTACTTTGTCAGATGAATCAGGATTAATTCCGATTGTCTTATATGTTTTTGATAAATTTAAAGTTTAGAATTATAAGTTACAATGTTTTGAATAATATATTTGATATAAGCGATTTACATAGTATAGTGCGAAATAACCACGGACAATCGTTCGCTGTTACACGTTATTTACGCGTATGTGTTGTTATTGATGTCTTCTGAACAAGATGTTCATGAAAGCAATGAAAGCACATAATATTTATTTGACATTTATTGAATTTAACTTGCTTATTACTTACTACTTACTTGCTAACTTTGATAAATATACTGAATATATTTGATTTTATTCGAATATATCGTTTGAAGATGTGTATTTATTTGAATTTATACATTTCTTTCGTCAACATTCGGTGTCTAACAGCAGCAATAATGCCGTTACTTCTAATTGACGATACATCGTACTTTGTGTGGAAGTTCTGCTAATCTTCTCGGGATCCATTATTTTTTACATATTATATTCATTCAATGAAGCAAAAATTTAATAGATATATTCATCCGACAAAGTAGTGTAATACAAATAGTGATATACACGATGATTCAGAATAACTTGTTATTCTTGAAATGACACGGGGACTGTTCTTTTCAGCTGAACTATTGCTGGAATTGCACTGGTTCGAAACTTGAACTGACGAATACAGTAAAAGTTCGTAGGTACAGAAATGCGTTTATAATTATTCAAATAAAGATTTTATTTTACCTTCATATACCTCCATCATACGCAGGACCTATTTGGGATGAAGAACATAATAGTAATATATTGTTATTTCATGTGGCATAATTGATTACTATTAATAAAGGAGAAACTGCAGAAATGTTTAATAACTGTAGCTTTGTTCTTCTCAAATATATTGCCTAAACTGATGTAAATCTGGCCCTCGCAATATACTGAACTGCTTGTACTAACTTCAGACCTAATGCAAGCAGTGGATTGCTGCACTAAGTTTTGTTCCACCGATGGAAAGAACAGTAAAATCTGATGTCGCTTCTGCTAGAAAGAATGCTTCAGTGTACACAGTCTTCAACTAGTACAAAAAGTTCAACTGGAAAGAACAAACCCATGTTCTTGAACGAGTTCTAAGACAATTTTTCCTCTTGCAAAGTGTTATCTGAAGCTTAGTTTTTAGCTATAAAGATAGATACTTTGCTTTTTACGGGTCAGATATAAGAGGCAACGACGGCAGAACTCAACGTCAAACGCAGACGTTTACATTGAGCGCCTAATACAATAATAAGCTTATCGATGCACGTAATAACATTGCTAACATTATTTTTATAAACTTCCGTTAACGATCATATCAAATGCCGCGAGGGGAGTCTGCGGAGCCGACATACGTTTCTCTCCTTCGCAAACGCGTATGATTGCACAACAAAATGCAATAGTTGACAATATTGTTTGGTAGGAACAGATTAACACGATCGCTAAGCAGCAAGGATTAATGCGATCGTAATATTAAATAAGATTTTGAATTAATTATTGTATTAAATTAATAAAATGAATTAAAATTAATTAAGTTTAATTAAATTAATTAAATTTAAATTTAACTAAAATAATAAAATTGTATTAAATTAATTAATAAAATTATATAAAATTTGATAAAATCCAATTAAAATATTATATAATTTAATAAAAAATTTTATATAATTTTATTAATTAATTTAGTGCAATTTTATTAATTTATTTGATTTAATTACACGAGCATTTCCAAACTAGAAAGCACACTTTGAAAATATAAACGGAGGAAAATAGAAAACAAAAAAATAAAAAAGAATGTTAATCAAGTTGAAAAGCATCAGATATTCTTACTTTTAAGAAAACCGACGAATTTGTACACCTTTGTAAAGATTATCTTGAAAGTGATCTTTTATCACTCGTTGATGCGCGTTTGTTCCCGTAATATGTTAAGAGTTTTATTTTCAATTTTACATTCGGTTCAATCGTGAGTTGTGAATTTTCCTTCCTCCTCGTGGTGCGCAAAATTAAAAAGAGCAGACGTAACACTCCATCAGTCGCAGCCGAACGGAAGTTATAAAAATGATATGCGCAATGTTATTATGTGCATTGATAAGCTCATCGCATTGGGCGCTCAATGTAAACGCCTGCGTCTGATAATGTTGTACCGTTTCTACCTATCATTTGTACCCGATCCGTAATAAGCAAACCGTTTATCTATATAACTCAGGAACTAAAGAAATACACTCAAGAACATGTCACTTCAAGGACAACAAATTGTTCTGAACCACTTTGTATCTTATTAATCATATTTAAATATTTTTGCCATTAAACGTTGTTATCGGTGAAAATTCATTTGAGAGCAATCGTTCGACATAATTTGAAGTGTTTCTGCCAAAATTCGTGGCAATCTGGTGTTGGAAATTTCCATTGCCAAAAGTTTATCCATCGACAAGAAATTCGTCGAATAGAAATCAAGAAAAAGACTCACCGCAACCTTGACCAGCCGGCGAACTGTTGGGGCCCGGACATACAAAAAAAACTTAAGCAGTGAGATTAATCAAGATTGATTATTCTCCTTATGGCGCAAAAACATGCAACTGCGATTGGTCAGTTTGTTCACCGCTTATGCTTAGTACTTAACACTTAGAAAACCTACCGTGAATGGAACTTCACCCCATGTGAATTTTGTTTTGATCTTATTGAGAAAACATAACCACCGGCAACACTAATTTTACAGGTATTTATTCACACTATCAGTGATGACAACATTATATCATAAAACAAATCCATTCTCCCGTATACTTTACTACAAACATAAAAAAAATTACATTGGGGTGACATTTGACGATAGCTTTTAAGGATTAAGTTATTCCGAGACATAGACAGTTCCAAACGAAATCCAGATAGACAGATATATACTAACTCACCTCCCATCAGCGCGTCCAGATTACCATGGCTGGGACTCATGAGGTTCTTGGGCACGGGTGCATTAGCGACCAGGCATTTGATCGCCAGCCGCCACCTGCTCGCCTCGCGCAGATTGTCCTCATACTTGTCGAAGCTGCGGAAGCGCAACGTAATGGTCGTGCGTTCGCGCCTCAGGCCACCCTTGACGCGTGTCTTCTTCAACGCGTACGCGTAGATGTACAAGTACGCGGACGTGTCGAGCTCGTCGTAGTACGCCTGATAGCTCTCCGCCGACGACTCCACCAGCTTCACCTGTGACTTAGACGCACCCGGTCGGCAGGCGCAGCTTCCCGCGTTCCTGCGCTTCGAGCGCATACACCTGCAGCCGATGATGTCGCCCAAGGCGATCGTCTCGCTCTTGGTCGTGCCGTTATGCTCCTTGTGCAGACTCAAGCCCTTCTCCGTCAGTCGCACCTTGTAGTACGTGTTCCGCTTGGACGTCACGTAGAAGATCTCCTCGAGCACTGTGCTGCTCCCCGGGTTCCCCTCGCCGTTGCTCTCCATCGTCCGCTGATCAAAGCTGCGAGAGGCGCGCACCTCTCACTGCCGATGTGATCCACACACGCGCGCGTCTTATCTAACTGTCGTTTTCCTCGCTGCGTCCTCGCAGCCGAACGCGCTCTCCCGCCAGCTCGTCGATGAAACGGCCAGGCGAATAAGCGCGGTGGTGGTCTAATCGCTCAACATGTAGCCATAATCTCACATTCGCGCGCGCCCGGCGATCGTAACGGGAATCGAAAGTGGAACGAATGACGCGGGACCGACCAACTGATCGACTCACCGTAGTAAACAAACGACTCGCTCCTACTCGCGCTCCAGCTGAGCTAGCGCGGTGCTTGTGTTTACTGCGAGTAACAGCGTGATGTAACGTAACGTAACGTAGCGTAACGTAAAGCGACGTAACAAAATGTAACGTAACGAAGCGGACAAACCGAAAGTCGATATCACCGTCGCCGACGTCCGGACCACCGGTACACGTCCTTTATCGATTTCACTGAGGATAGCACGTGCACGAGCTAGCGAGCGAGCGAATAGAGCGCAACGACTGCTAACTGCTCGCGATCATCGTCACCAATCACATAAGCGAAGAGGCCTTTAAAGGAACAACGCGACGCCCATGGATGACGCGTCTCGTTCGTACAACTCGTTACACTGTTCCGCCTATGCTTCGATAAACAAAAAAGAAAAAGAAACAAATATCACATACGTTTGCGGGCGATCTCGGTGACCTACGAGCCGGAGAGTCTGTTTTGCGCGTAGAATTGTGCGATCAAAACGGTGGTGGCAATCGTCAACCAACTTGGAGCAACTCCTCAAGCGAACTGGCGTCCGTGCGGCTCGTGTGAGCCAATCGTAGTCAAGGCGAATATACACCGCGTGACAAGCTCGCGTCGTCGGGGCTGCTAACCCTGTGTGATCGGAAGTTCTGTAGAACTGACACTGTGCTCCCGGCTCCACTCCCACCATCGCCACTACCATCCCGGCTGTTACTCCTTCTCCGTGACTCGTGGATTATCCCCACTGCTTGACCGAGCTTGGATTTGATGCTTATGGCTAATTCATAGCCCTACTAGTCGAGTATTATCGCGTTGGAACGTTATATAATATGAAATATACCATTCATACAAGAGACATCGATTGTGTTGATTTATCTTACAGCTTTGTTTCATGAGTCGACCGTGAGTTCTGTTGAAAAGTGAAAATTTTCGGTTTCGAGAGCATTTGAAAATGTTCACACTTCATGAATTCACGTTGCAAGAAAAGTTCATAATTATGGATCTGTTCTTTTTAGCTGCACTACTGAACTGGTGCAATAAGTTAGAGTAAGAAAAATATAGAAATTAGAGTAAGAAAAAATATAGTTGTCTCACTCTAACTTATGCATTCAGTTCAGCAATGCAGCTAAAAAGAACAGACCATATTTCCCCAGGCTAATAACTTCCTCGATTTTTCTATGTGACTTTTGATGATTGTAAACTTCCAATTTCGTATTTATTATTTATATACAAAAGAGGGAAAAAAAGTCGGAACCTCTAAATAACATTAAAAATATGTAAGATAAAAAAAATTTTACAGAAATTGTATACAGAAAAAAATATATACAGAAATTGTAAAGTTTTAAATGAAACACCATACAACAATACTAGTATGACCTTGAACAACAGCAACATTAGGATCATGGGAAGGTCACCTTGAATTTTTTAAACCCCCATTTTTTATTATATCACTTTTCTCTACCAATTCATTTGAACTACCAATTAACGTGAACTTTTGTCTGAAAAATTTTTTTATTTGCTTAATATTTTTTGAGATATATATTTAAAAAAAACTTGGTAACTTTTTCAAGATTTAGCTTACAATACATCTTGTATCTTGCTAACTACTTGTTGAAACAAAAATTATACTAGATTTTTTGGTGCCAAGAATATGCTGTTACAATAATGTACTAACTTTTATTAACTGTTACTATAATATACTAACTTTTGTAAACTTGATTTCCAAAATTCCAAAGTTAGGCATTATTATAACAGTATATTCCTGAGACCAAATAGAAACAAAAAAATCTAGCACCACTTTTTCTTCCAATAAATAGTCATCGAGATATCGTAAGTTAAATCTTGAAAAAATTACCAAGTTTTCTTCAAATATCTCAAAAAATATTAGGCAAATAAAAAAATGTTTTAGACAAAAGTTGTCCAAGTTAAGAAATAAATGATATAACAAAAAATTGGGATTTCTATATAAAAAAAAGTGACGTTCAATGAATATCTCGAAAATAGTGCCATCTTTAAACAAAATAATATCGTTGTCTTATATTACCCTCCAAACCAAACAACTTTTGCCTAAAACATTTCTTATTCGACCATTTTCTATAATGTTAATCGAGGTACATAATTAAAATGGGACACCCTGTATTAGTATAACCTTTTTTTGAAGGAACTAAGATATTTTCAGTTCACAAGTCTTATATTATTTACGTATGTTTCCTTTTATAAGTAATCTTTGTAAGTAAACCTTTGTCTTTTTTTACAACGCATTTCTTTCGTAATCGCGTTAATTTTATGTCAAATATTTGAAACATAATATCACTAATATTCAAAGACATTTCTAATATTTTTGTAAATTACATACATTTCAGTACAATTTATTATATTTATTATAAAGTTTATAGAATTTATGATTTAATTACAGTATATATTAGAATATAATTTAAAAAATTAAATTTAGGTAGATAGAATTTCTAGTACAATTATTATTAAAAAATATTTTTAATAATATTACTAATACATACTTTAATAAAGTTTTTTACGTGTAATTAAATTTATTATTGTTATAACAAAATTTTTATATTATTTCATTTCTTTTCGGAACATTCTCAAAACTCGTCTAGATGGACGTTCATACATTTGGAAGTCCTGTCCGCAAAAGGCTAATGCAAGAATAAAGCCAGCGGCACACGGTGCTTGTTTTCGTGCTGGATTGCTTGCTGGATGAAAATACTGTGTTCTGATTGGTATATTTTCGAAGATGGATGAAAATGCACCAATCAGAACGCAGTATTTTTATCCAGCAAGCAATCCAGCACGAAAACAAGCATCGTGTGCCGCTGGCTTAAATGTTAGCAAAATTTATCTTGTTATAGAACGTAGTAAATTTTATAATAATAGACTTAAGTTGCTAAAATATAAATAACACATATAAAACATTAAGTGTTATTAATTGTGTGTTCTTTTTTGCTGTACTACTGAACTGGTGCAATAAATTAAAGTGAGACAACTATATATTTTCTCACTCTAACTTATTGCACCAGTTCAGCAGTGCAACTAAAAAGAACAGACCATATATTATATACGCTCCAATCATATTATTATGACCACCTGAGTCAACTGATGTCAACAGAAGTTATACACAATTAGGGAATTTTATAGTGATCGCGTAAAGTTCATATATTACTAGCAGAGAGATTTGGGCTACGTTCCGATATTCACTGCCAGTACTGAAAATATATACTTTATGTCACATATATTATAGATTGTCAATACTAGCAGTGAATATCGGAACGCAGCCTCGGTCTGTTCTTTTTAGCTGTACTACTGAACTGGTGCAATAAGTTAAAGTGAGAAAAAATATAGTTCTCTTATTCTAACTTATTGCACTAGTTTCGCAGTGCAGCTAAAAAGAACAGACCAATTAACATTTGTGACACCTATAAATAGAATACAGAGGCCCTATTCTTGAACTACTTGCGTATACGTAAGTAGCAAGTTTCGACTAATCGCAATGGAAAATCCCTAGAACCGTATTCTTGACAGTCGCAAGTGAAACGTAAACGCAAATTATCATTCGCAATGCAACGAATGGGTAATACCATGGGCAAGAGCACAGGCTTTTGCATAACACATAATACATATAAGAGAATAAACCAATTAGTTTTTTTCATTTCCCTCCTCAGGACAGAAATGAAGAACTCTGATTGGTTGATTCTCTTATGCGTTGTGTATTATGCGTTATGCAGAAGTCTGTGCTCTGGTCTCATCCGTTTCTCTCGAAACGTATGTGATACGTTATGCAAAGTACAGAAAGTGGAGTATAAGAGTACACATAGAAGCACACTATTATTAAGAAGAAGAATAATTCAACGCTAAGACGGCTAAAAGAGTGGAAAATAATAGCTGACTTTACATATGCGTAAGAGAAATAATAAATACGAAATTTAAGAGAAAATAGCATATAAATTTCACTGCATTTTAATTATAGAGTAAAATTGTGTAACAATAATGGATTTAGACGATATAATAGTAAACATACCAGTTATAAATGCGTTAGAACATGCTGAAATAATGGAAGAACCAAAAAGATTTTTCCATTAGTTCCATATTAGTTCCATATTAGTTCCATATTAGTTCCATATTTTTCACTTTGTTCTGCTGAACGCAGCCAATTAAAGTCGTCATATCGTATTTTTGGTCGATATTTGCAAAAAGTACATATGTTTTCCAATGTTGTCAAACGTAATTAAACGCAACGGAAAACATATACGTTTCTAGTTGCGAATACTGCACAATTAAGTTCAAGACCGTGTATGCGCATTTTTACTATTCGCAACGTGCGTATACGTAAAGTTGCGTATAGATTCAAGAATAGGGTTCCAGGAGTTTTTTGTTCACCTCCGCGGCGGTTAGATGTGGTTCTCGTCTACGCATATTTTTGATCTTAGGGACTGCGTACGCGTTGTCCCTGTTTCTCTTTTTAATTTCCAAAATCGTTGTAATTGGCATAAGAGAAGGAGTATAATAACTCTGCTCAAAGCCATATATTGAATGAATGAATGAATGTAAATACAATATAGCTTCTGTTATGGGCGGGGCGGCGGCCTCCTTCTGCAAGGACGTAATGTCCCGGAAGGAGGCCGCCGAGTGAGAGTGCCGACGCGACTCGGACCACGGAGTGCAGGAGAGTCGAAGGCGGCGCTCCCCGGGGGGAGATGAGAGCGACTCCGAGGTGGCGCCGGCCGGGAGGAGGCGGCGGAGACCGGCAGTCCGGGCTCCGCGGCCCCCCCGGCTGCCTCGGGGTCGACTTCGGACGCGCGGGGGAGGGACGCGGGGTCGGAGGTGAATGACCTCTCCCCGCGCTCCCTCGCGCGTCGGTTAGGTTAGGAAAGGGGGGAGCGAGGCCCTCTGGGAAAGGGCCTCGCTCCCCCGCCCCCCCAGAGTGGGAATTCTAGGGGTGGGGGCGGGGAGGTGGGGGTGGGTGTCCCCCCCTCCCGTAATAGTCACCGGAAGGCCAACCCGGTCGGCTTAGCCGACTAGGGTGCCTAAAGAGCCTGAAATCAAAGAGCCGCAAACTGCCTCCACGTTTTTGATTGGCTGTACTATATGACGTCAGAATACGTCATGTTTGCGAGGAAAAATCGTACAGTTCGCTAGCTGTCTGCTAGATAAGAAGGTTGCGAGGTTATTTTACATTAAATCTTTTGAAACATGTTTCTAATGTAAATACATTGTCTAAAAAACTTGCTGGAATTTGAACATAACCTTTTACAAACTTGTTTTATTGTATTTCCTTAAAGAGATTTGATGGCTATTTACTGTCGCATGAAACATTTATAAGAATAATTTCAAATTATGTAATTACTTTATTATTTTTGCAGTATTTGTAGTTATGTTGCGGTGTTTAAATATTGATTTGCATCATGGTACGAGTATGTAGTGCAAATAATTGTTCAAATAAGTATAGTACTGGGATAAAGTTCAGGAGGTGCCCTTGTATTCCTCATCTGTGGCAACAATGGTTAGAAAAATTAAACAGAAGTACTATGGGAAATGAATTTTATCTTTCTGAGGTATGAATGCAATTATAAAATTATAAAATAGTTGTTTCCTTTAGAAAATATATATGTTTAGATGTTATGTCATAAGATTTTGTTTTATGGTTCTTATCTTATATTGTAGGAACATTTCAGCAGAGAAGATTTACAAACAAATACTCGAAGCCTTATTCCTATAATTTTTTGCAACTGCTCAAATACTTGTAGGTCACAATCTTGCAACAGCTTGTCACAATCTTGCAACAGCTATTCTGAAGAGATTCATTCAAATGCGACTAAAAATTTTCACTGGTCATGAAGAACGAAAAGAATCCGGTTCAGAATTTGGTAGTTTCAGCATGGGCTCACGTTTGTTAGGCAAAAGCATGAAATAAAACTTTATTATTAGTCAGCAGAGACTTCCAACGATATTGAGTAAAGTAATTCTGTTTTTATTTTTAGTATGTTAGTCTAATTGTTGTCACAAGAAATTTCTATTGAATGCAATAACCCAGATAGAACACAGTGTTAGCAAAATATTTTAGAGATATAGATGTGAAATATTATATAAATATTGTAATGTCCGAGATTCTCAGATATGAAAAAGATTATAATAAATATCTAAAAATATTTAAGAAAACCATTTTTCATTAATATTTTTATGAAACAACTTATGACTTATAAATCGATTTATGAAACATATTTTGCAGACATATTTTTACATATTTATTATAATTGTTTTCATAGCAGAGAATGTTGAACATTACAATAACTATAAAATATTTGATCTATATTTCTAAAATATTTTGTAAATATTATGTGCTGTCTGGGAACCTACATTTTAGTAACAGCAATAATAATATAATGTAATTATTAAAAGATAATTATGTTCAATACAATTATTATAATATATAATATAATTGTTATAATATATAATTATTATAACTGTTTTCAATAAAACTTATGTTCGTTCTCAAACGATTATGTAAATTTATTTCAATTTTATTTGAATAATCACACTAATACATTTACGAGATTCAGATATTAGTTTCGAACTTCGCGCGAAGGGACGCCATGTTTGCGAGGAAAAAGATTCCCCTGCCTAGCAGACAGTTTGCGGCTCTTTGATTTCAGGCTCTTTAAGGGTGCCGCGCCATGAACCTTTTCCTCAAGGAGAAGGGGGCACGGCACTTGGGCGTGGGGCTCGACAACGAGCCCTGGGGCCGGAGTGTCGGGGAGGGAATGTTGGCGCAGTTCCCCTGACTCCCTCCATCTCGGTCTGACTGGTAGACACCCCGCAGGGGTTTTAGTGAGAGTCTCACATAACCCTCCGCCCCTCCCAGAGGGTGGAGGGTACCCATGATGGGTTTCCCCTGCGTTATCAAAAAAAAAAAAAGCTTCTGTTATGGGCAAAGCACGCGACCTGTCAGACTTTGAAAAAAGCATGATTATCGGGTCAAAGCTGCCAACATTTCCGAAACAGCGGATTTTGTTAAGTGCTGCAGTAGTGAAAATATATCAAGACTGAACGAACGAAACAATTACAACGAATCGACGTGCCAATTATGAAGCTTCTCGACCGATGCATTAGGCAACTGAATCCGCTATCACTGGATCTCCAGGAACTGCGGGATGCACTGCTTTCTATATGATCAAAAATGTCCGCAGATACCTTTCATAACATTATCGAGTTCTTCTCACGGTAGTTTGTTGCGGTGTATGCTGCAAGAGGCGGTTATTCTAGTTATTAGCAGGTGGTCATAATGGCTGCATTCAGCAGACTCAACAGTTGGACTCAACATTACTAGATTTTCCACTGAATCTCGCTCCTGATTAATAAATACTTCTGGGTCTATGAAGAATCTAAAAGAATGCTTCAATCACAGACAATAATCACTAAGCGCTCTCTGATCACTTTGTTCTACTGAACGCGGCCAATATAATTAGATATTGCATATATATATATATATATATATATATATATATCAATATATATATATATATCAATATATATATATATATATTGTTGTGCCCACACCTTTGGGGAACGTATTGTTCCCACGCTCTTGGGAGAAGACTGTGAAGAAGGCATATAGAGAGTGTTTGACAGCTGTTATCGTTGTCAAGGAATTTGTTTACTAACAACTGGAATAATAAGAGAGTCGCTCTAGTCCTGTCACAGCGTACGGACGTAAAGCGAATTCGTGCGATTATTTTGAGATTGATTAAAATCCGTTTTTCTTGGCTGTAAATAAAGCTATTCTTGTTTAGTTTATCCCGAGTTATTTCTTTCACGCGCGGGCACAACAATATATATATATATATATATATCATATATATATATATATATATATATATGAAAGATAATTTAATTAAGTATTTAAAGGATAATTTACTTAAATAGATAAATAAAAGACAGAATTTAAGTATTAAAGTTAAATGTCTATATATTTCTTGGTTCTAGATTCTATAATGTTTATTATATAATTTTTCCTATGCAGTAATTATTAATTAAGTATAAATAATTAGCAATGTCATTCGAATGAGCCTAGTTTATATTATTACATATATCCAAAATTATACAGGGTGCACGATTTATCTGAAGACATTGAAATATCTCGAGAACTATGCATTGGATAAAAAAAGTGGTTAATGAAAGTTGTTAGTCTCGAAGGGGGACATCCAATGATACCAAACTCGACCTCCCATCCCACCCCCTGGGGGTGGGGGTTGGGGGCAACTTTGAAATCTTAAATGGAAACCCCCATTTTTTATTGCAGATACGGATTCTACGCCACAAAATACGTAAATTTTGTCCGAAACTTTTTTTTTGATTCGTGATAGATGGCGCTGTAATCGCAAAAAATTATATTTTCCGTAATTCTCCAGAAATGATCATTGGATTGAGAAATAAAAAATACCTGTTCAATATTTTTAAAGAACATAATAAAAGTTATTCCCCTCATCCTCTCGGAGTAGGGTGGGTGGTAACGTTCAAATCTCAAATGGGAACCCAACGTTTGACAAAGTATGTGGTTTCAGCATGACGGTTGCCCAGCGCATAACTCAATAGCAGCACGGGAAATATTAGACCGTGATTACAATGGTCGGTGGATTGGCAGAGGTGGCCCGATTAATTGGCCTGCTAGGTCGCCTGATTTGACATCGCCGGATTTCTTTCTGTGGGGTTACCTAAAAGATAAGGTTTATCAACAAGTGCTAACAACTCGTGAAAACATGGTAGAACGCATAAGAAACGCTTGCGCTGAAACTCCCGCAGATATGCTTCTATCCTGTGTACAGTCACTTGAAAAAAGGATCAATAAGTGTATTGAAGTTGAAGGTAAAAATTTCGAACACTTACTCTAATTAATTGAACAGTGAGAGGTAAGGGGATTCACATTAAAAAGCACCCCGATCTGTGAGAGGCAAGGGGACTCACATTAAAAAAGCACCCGAAGGGAACATAAAACTACTACGTCCTCGTCGTTATTCCTGTGTAACGCTAAAAGTAGTTTCTCGGAAAAATTCAACGCTATCTATCACGAATGAAAAAAATTGTTTCAATAAAAATTTCACGTACAATCTAATTCTGCAATGAAAAATGTGGGTCCCTATTTGAGATTTGAACGTTATTACCCACCCTACCCCGAGAGGATGGGGGGGGAATAAGTTTTATTATGTTCTTTAAAAATATTGAACAGGTATTTTTTATTTCTTAATCCAATGATCATTTCTGGAGAATTGCGGAAAATATAATTTTTTGCGATTACAGCGCCATCTATCACGAATAAAAAAAAAAGTTTCGGACAAAATTTACGTATTTTGTGGCGTAGAATCCGTATCTGCAATAAAAAATAGGGGTTTCCATTTGAGATTTCAAAGTTGCCCCCAACCCCCACCCCCAGGGGGTGGGGTGGGAGGTCGAGTTTGATATCATTGGATGTCCCCCTTCGAGACTAACAACTTTCATTAACCACTTTTTTTTATCTAATGCATAGTTCTCGAGATATTTCAATGTCTTCAGATAAATCGTGCACCCTGTATAGTTTGTGATAGGTAATTATTTAGAAGACGGACCTCGATTTCGCACAAACTTTGCATAATTGTGTATGTTGGTGCGTAGAACGCGATTTTGCAAGAAAAAAGTGTCGCTCTCAAATGGATCAAAAGTTACAAAAATCTAAAAAATAACACGTATAGGGTTAGAAAATCTGTCATGCCGATAATATAGACTAAAGCCAGCGGCACACGGTACTTGTTTTCGTGCTGGATTGCTTGTTGGATGAAAATACTGCGTTCTGATTGAATACTGCGTACATTTCCGAAGATGGATGGAAATGTACCAATCAGAACGCAGTATTTTCATCCAGCAAACAAACCAGCACGAAAACAAGCACCGTGTGCCGCTGGCTTAAAACTAACTGAGAAGCATGTGCAATGTGTTAAAGTGTAAGAGGGTACATATAAGTGGGAGAGAGGCTCCGCCCCTCTCCCACACCCCCCCACCTCCCACACCTTCCCAAAGAAATCCTAACCTAACCAAACTTATTGCATCTTTATTATATATTGTTGAGCGTGGATTTTAATAATTAAAATCTTTTCAACAATGTCCAACAATATATCAATGTATACACAGGGTGTCCCATTTTAATGTCCCGCCCCAAAGAACTCTTCAGTATTAAAGTTTCAAGGAAAATAATCTGAATAAAAGTTGTAGGGATTTAAGTGAGCTACCTTATGATGACCTTGACTTTGACCTTTACCTCTATTTTCAAGGTCATTTGAAGGTCAACTTGCGTTTTTTAAATAGGAATCCTTATTTTTTATTACATTGTTTTTTTCTACTAGTTAATTTGAACAACTTTTGCCTAAAACATTTTTTCATTTGTCTAGTATTTTTTGAGATATTTGAGGAAAACTTGATAACTTTTTCAATATTTAACTTACAATATCTCGCTAACTATTTGTCGGAAGGAAAAGTGGTACTAGACTTTCTTGCTTTATTTAGTCTCAAGAATATATTGTTACAATAACGCCCTGACTTTTGTTAACTTACTGATTTTTGGAAATTTCAAAATCATCAAATTAACAAAAATCAGGGCACTATTGTAACAATATATTCTTGAGACTAAATAAAGCAAGAAAGTTTAGTACTACTGTTTCTTCCGACAAATAATTAGTGAGATATCGTAAGTTAAATATTGAAAAAGTTATGAAGTTTTTCTCAAATATCTCAAAAAATATTAGACAAATAAAAAAATGTTTTAGACAAAAGTTGTTCAAATTAACTAGTAGGAAAAAACAGTGTAATAAAAAATAAAAAAGGATTTCCATTTAAAAAACGTAAGCTGACCTTCGAATGACCTTGAAAATAGGAGTCAAAGTTAAAGTCAAGGTCATCATAAAGTAGCTCACTTAAATCCCTACAACTTTTATTCAGATCATTTTTCTTGAAACTTCAATACTGAAGAGTTATTAGGGTGGTCTGTGTCTTTTGGGACACCCTGTATATGAAATGGGTCACTTTGTATGTATGTATATACATATATAAAACCTTATATATATATATATATATATATAAGATATAATACATATACCATATATATGTCTTTAACATAAATTTCTTTTATTAACATTTTCGATTGAGCAGATTTTGATCAATCCAAGAGCAATTTATGACATTCTAAATTCTGTCTGACTTATCACAGATCTTGTCATTAATTGGTCCCAAATCAATCAATATCCACTAAGTAGAAAACGTTATATAAATAGTAATCTGTTTAAATAATAGACGTAAATTATATTATATGATTCAATTGAAAAATTTAAATTTAAATCTAGATCTCTAAATTCAAATCTAGATATCTCATATGAGGCAAGTTTCAAGTAACAAATATTAATACAGGCTTTAAATTGTATCGATATTATGTATTGACAGTGTGAAGTAACTTCAAGGAATTTTTTGCTGTAGAATAGTGCATATCAACAAAAGAAGGAATATAATGCAATTGCATGATAAGACGGAAACATCAACACAGTGAAACAAATGTCAATACACAAGCAATAATGAATCAAAAACATTTAATTATCTTCTAATAATTAAATCCTCTCCTGAGATATTAGAACGAAAAAAGAAAACGAATAATAGCAGATGAGTGTTATATTCCTTTCGTAAATTCGATTTTATAAATCTTTTATTTGAAAAATTTGTTGCAAACGAAATCTCTTAAATTTCTCCCTTCTTTAAGAAATTAAAGTTACTATTTAAATAGTATTGTTACTATTTAATAGTATTGATAAATAAATATTAAATCATGTCGATTAAATATTAATAACATTATTATTTTTAAAAAAAACTTTACGTGTGTATATGTTGCTATTACAAAAGATTTATGTAAAAGTCAACTATAAAAAAAGGTAAATAAAGATTATGGAAAGAGAATATTATTTTCTTTTCTTTTGACTATATTATTTTTACTTATTGCTTTTGTAATATTCCGCTCAATACATATGCGAAAAATAGATATATCTTAGATATGCTATATTGATTAGATAAGATGACCCCGATATCGTGCTGCATATTCGAACCTTGCTCCGACATACTTCAAGAATGTCAAAGTACATTTTCAAGCCCAAGATAATAATAGTGTTAATATTCCACTTTTTGTGACGAAAGACCCAAGTTCAAGGCTGTGCAGTCTTCGCTTTTTATCGCATGAATGCATTTGTATGTAAATTTTCACAAAAACTTTCACAAAAACATTAAGAATTCATTTACGCAAGATTCTACCTCGTGAATTGTTTATAATTACAAAATATTATAATCCCAGGAAAAAAGAACATATATGATTATAAATAATTATATAAAATTATGTATGATTATACTTAAGTTACATATAAATTATAAATTATAATCATAAAATAAAAAATAAATAACAATAATAATAATAAATAACAATAAATTTTAATCATATATGTTCACACGGAAAAAAAATGATGTTAAATGAAAAAAGGAAAAAATAGTTTTATTCAAATAAAAACGTCAATATCATGAGGTGTCAGAAACATAAGCGTTTACTCCAAATATTTTTATGGGGAATGAAAAATTGATAATGACGTACCAGCTCGCAAGAAAACATGAGACAGCGCATTGTGGATGCATGTGCGATTATAAAATTAGAAGTAATAGAAAGGACAAGATGAGTATTATTTATGTATCATATTAAAAAATATATTGAAGTCGGAGGGCATCGTTTCGAACACTTCCTTAAATAAATTTTTGTGTTGAAAAGCATAAATATTTGACTTTTGTGTTTCCCTCATACATAATTTTCCATGTTCAAAATAATTTCAAAGTTATATTGTCGCTAAACTTTTCTCGATGTTAGCTATAAAAGCATGCAAATAAGAAACATAGTTCTATTAAAAAAAAATTGTCTTAATCTTTAAATAGTTTAAATAACCTCGAAGGAAAAACTTTCTGTCATCATAATTGTCCCTTCGAACTGTAATTTTTTCCTAAGATATTTTCCGTATCCTCAAAAACAAGTAAGAAATTTAAGGTGATCAATTTAAATGAACCACTCTATTTATAGCCACATATAAATAAAATTCATAAATGTCTTTTATAATCTTCTTTCTCGGGATATTTTCAATTTTACAAAAATATTAAAATTTTATTTCTAAAATATTAAAATTAAAATATAGACTAATACGTATAGAATATTTGAATATTGAATATTAGAAATTAAAATGATAAAAACTGGACAAACCAATCATCCCTGAAACTATCAGACGTATGACAAATAGAACATGACAAAGTATTTTTTCTCGACTTGTAATTGGTCGATTCCTCAATGCGCACATATATCCATGTGGACGAGCCAGTATGATCTGGCGCTTCGCTGTTGACAATTTACAATAGTCTTTTGTTCACCTCCGTGGCGGTTGGATGCAGTTCTTGTAACTACGCATAATTTTTTGATCGTGGGGATTGCGTACGCGCTGTCCCTGTTTTTCTTTTTACATCATACTACTGAGAAGTGGCATATGGACATTGCTGTATGCAGTCCGGAGCCATATAACGAACTGAACTGAACTGACATTTACAATTGTTCCTACTGAAAACATCAACCGAGGAAACAGACGGAAAATTTTCAATTTGTAGCGGAAAACAAGAAATCTCGTTCTCTCATTTGAGTCCAAATCAGTAGCAGTGCTGTGTCGTGAAATTTGCGCAGTATAAATGAGCGTGTGATACGTACTCGTTTTCCGCAAAACTCCGCAGCGCACGCGTTTATTATGGCGATTACATGCTTTTAGTACTAACAGCTGATTCGGCGAATCTTTTCCCGCGTGGTACGACGTAACGTATGATCGGAAAGAGCGCAAATGAATCGGCCGTAACGACAAGGAGCGCCGCAGGCATTACTGTTTTTGTTGACAAAACTTCGTTCTGAAAAGATGCGTATTGACGTGTCCTAATGACGTAATTGGTCGAACAGGCGAGACAGTTCCACGCGTGTATGTCCACGTAGGTATCAAGTGCGATCAATCGTGCGCTTATGTCGCGGGATCCTGAAAGGTCGACGAGTAATAACGTCAAGATCGCCGGTATTGTAATGAGGCCGTGAAAAAAGTGTCGGTTGTCCATCGAGCAATGAAGTCGAACGTAGGTGTGCTGTTTCTGCTATTGTTCCTGGTGTCGTGTCTCCAGTCTAACGCGGAATTGGAGAGTACCGCGAAGAAGCGCGGTGACATTACGCAAAAGTCGAATTCCAACGATGAGACGGAGGAGGATGTCACCAACGAGGACATGGAAAATGCCTTCGAGCAGCTGCGCGAGCTCAGGGCACTGCGGGAAACTATACTGAAGCTTGTGCCAGCATCCGACTCGCTTATAAATGAAAAAGTTAACAACAAGCATAGGAAAGAGGATACGGATGGCAAGGTGGATAGTGTGAACAAAGAGCCTCTGGAGAGTTCAGGAACAAGCAATGTTTGGATGAAAACTATGATAGCTCAAACAAAGGACATGGATCCTTTGGATATCAATAGTAAGCAGTTGGATGAAGAGGATATGGAAGCCTGGGAAAATCATGAGCAGTATGAGACACTCGAAGAAGAGGTCCAAGAGCCATTGTCACTGGAACAACAGGCAGGTAAGTTATAAAATATTTTATTTTCAACATGTTATAGTATTAAGCTTTGTGACAATGCATATATTTAGCGCTCTAACTATTCACTGAGTACTCAGTGAGCTCTTGAGTTCAGTGTTTTATTGTGTTTCCAAATTTGACTGAGCTTTAAAAATACAGACTAATTATCCAAGAGCTTGCTGAATATTCAGCAGATGGTTAGATAGTTTTAGCAAATATTTTTTTATCTATGGAATTGAAATATCTTTCAGCCGAACAATTATTCAAGAATGCTCTGAACATTTTAAATGCAATGCGTGCCAACAAGTCTGCGGGTTACGAATTGCTAATGGAAGCAGCACAGTTGGGTCATCGAGAAGCCAGATCTCTGTTAGCTTGGGGAAGATTGCTTGGCTCTCGTTTAGATCCTGCATCTTCGAGAGTGTCTATCGATGACATACCCAGTATATTTGAGATATTCAAGGAACTTGCAGATACAGGACTTCCATCGGCCCATATGGTACATACATACATAGCTTAAGTATAGAAACTGATAAGAATAAGAATTCTGTAGATACTTGATTATCCCTTTTATTTAGGTTGTTAAGTATTAGGAATAATAGAATAAATATTGTATTCACACAGGGAATGGGATTTTTATATGCAACTGGTATTGGTGTTAATGCATCTCAAGCAAAAGCTCTACTTCATTACACTGTAGCTGCTCTTGGTGGCGATACTTGGGCGCAAATGGTAATGGGACACCGTCATTGGGTAGGCGTGGCGACAATACCCTCGTGCGAACGAGCATTAGACTATTATCGAAAAGTAGCGAAGAAAGTCGCAGAGGAAGTGTCATTCAGTGGTGGCCCAGTCGTTCAGCGAGTTAGGCTGTTGGACGAGCATGAGAATCCGGGATACAGTTCTGGAATCTTCGATCAGGATTTGATAGAGTACTATCAGCTGTTGGCCAAGAAGGGCGATACACAGGCACAAGTTGGACTTGGTCAACTGCATTATCAAGGAGGTAGAGGAGTTCCTTTAGATCACGAAAAGGCTGTACAATATTTCCAACATGCTGCTGACGCTGGCAATCCTGTAGCTATGGCCTTTCTTGGAAAGGTAAGAGTATAAACCTAAAACAACCTAGAAAAAATAATACAATAAAGCTATTACTCTTTTAGCAAAATTATTCTTTTGAATTAAAATCGCAATATTAATTTCAATAGAAAATATCCGATATAACTATGCCATATATGTTTCTTGTTTCTGACTTTGATATTTTTCTGGCTTTTTACATATATTTACAGATTTATTTAGAAGGAAGCGAGATTGTGAAACAAGACAATGAAACAGCATATAAATATTTTAAAAAAGCTGCTGAATTAGGCAATCCTGTGGGTCAAAGTGGTTTGGGCCTGATGTATTTATATGGAATGGGAGTGGAAAGAAATACTGGTAAAGCATGGCAATATTTCCATCACGCTGCAGAACAAGGCTGGGTCGATGGGCAACTGCAATTAGGCAATATGTATTTCAGTAAGTATTTGTATTTTTATATGTGACATTCATAGCAGTTCTTATAAGATATAAGACTGTTCTAATTTATCTCAAAATGTCAAATAAACTGTTTCATTGGTTGCAAAGCATCAGAAAATAAGTTAAAGAAAGATAATACCTTTGAAGATCGAAAAATCGGTCTATTGTTAAAATCTGCTAATTCAAGGACTGAACAAAACATTTGGAATTTTGAGATTTAGATTTTACTGTTTCATAATGAAGACGGTATAGAAATTATTCGTAGATATCAATTTTCTTGAATGTTATAAATAATCATAGTGACTGACATAATATTTTTACTTATGATGTGTATGTATTAAAATATTCACTACAAAAACTTAAAGAAAAAAAGAACAGATTAGCCACAAAGAGAGAGATATGCCTATAACGTGTCGGAAATAGAATTTGCAAAAACAAGTTTATTTTAATTTTATTTACAAAACTGTAAACTGTCGTATATTTTGTATAACATTAAAATCGTAACATTATTGAATAATGAAAAATATGTGTCATAACTGAATTGTATAGAAACAATAAAATATAAGATATTATTTGGTTTGAACATTTGATTTTGCATGTTTTGCACTTTATATCTTGACAAATGTTTCCAAGAGTGTAAAGAGTTAAAATTCTACAACTATGATTTTCAATACTATCATAGAGTTTTCGACGGAATAAAGCTGTCTGCACAACTGTAGCTCTATGCGCTTTTTTCAGCTGCTATTCGGGCAATTTTTGAAATTTTAAGATGTAACAAAATTTAAAATATATAGGGAAGATAGTTCTGTGCGATTATATGTATAAAAAAAATCAAAAATTTATTTTCTAAAAATTTTAAGGATACTGTCCCTTAAGACGATTTTAAATATGAGATTCAGTTATGAATACCAGTTTAATAAAATATGTCCGTGCTTTTTTACATTTATATCGCATTGCGATTTATATTAATTTACCGATCAGTGCTCATTGCTGACTTTTATAGATGATGTTAACTTCACTTTTTAGGTGGTATTGGTGTTAAACGAGATTACAAAATGGCAAATAAATATTTTAATCTAGCCAGCCAATCAGGTCATGTGTTAGCATACTATAATCTTGCTCAAATGCATGCCACTGGCACCGGCATGGTGCGAAGTTGTCCCCCGGCTGTGGAATTAATGAAGAATGTTGCCGAAAGAGGAAAATGGAGTGACCAGTTGATGATGGCGCATACCGATTACAGAGAAGGCAAAGTGAACGAAGCATTCCTAATTTATGCCTTATTTTCCGAGATGGGTTATGAGGTTGCGCAGAGTAACGCGGCGTTCATTCTAGACAGAGGAGAGACCGACGTTCTGTCGGAAGAGGAAAGCTTAGTCAGAGCTTTAGCACTGTGGACACGAGCTGCTACACAAGGATACTCTGCGGCACAGGTATATATAAAAATATTCTTTATTAATGAGAAAACAAAAAGTGAGAAAATTGTTTACTAAAAGTAATTCGTTAGCGTCACTCCGTTATTCTTTAAAGAAGAAGTAATAATATTATTAATGATCATTATTACTCACTTTGATAAATAACTCATTATCATTATTGTTACGCGGAAAGAAACTAACTGTTTTTACCTTTTGTAATTAAACGATTTTTTAGTTAAAAAGATCCTGTTTTTACGATTGGCTGCCGCCTATCCAATATATTGGGTTGTTCGGGAAGTAATTTCGGTTTTTTGCATGAAAATGAAAAACAATATTTTTAATAGAAAGAAAAGTTTTATTTTGTTAAATATTGACCATTTTATTCTAATATCTTTCACCATCTTTAAGGTAATACTATGATTCCACGCTCGTAGAACTTCTGATCCTTATTGGCAAAAAAACTGAATTAAGTGGTTTTTGATACCTTCATTTGAATCGAAACTTTTACTATCCAAAGAATTTCGCAGTAACCGAAATAAGTGATAATTGAATAATGTCAGATCAGATAAATATGGTGGATATAGTAGCAAATCCTATCTAAGTGCTAACAGCTTCTGGCGAGTCATTAAACTTATATGAGGTCTGGCATTATCATGATGAAACACAACACTTTTTCTGTTCGTCAATTCTGGTCTCTTTTGTTTGATGGAATCATTTTGGAATTTGTCCAATTGATGACAATACACATTCGAATCAATCGTTTGGTTGTTTGTGGTAACAGCTCCAAAAAATCATTCCTTTCCAATCCTACTAAGCAGAGAAACATCACTTTCTTTTGATGGATATCAGCTTTCAATATGCTTTGAGCTGATTCATCACGTCTATTCCATGATCTTTTGCGTTTAATATTGTTGTACACAATCCATTTTTCATCTCCAGTTACGAATCGCTCCAGAAATGAATCGTTTTCCTCACGTTTCAACAGCAAATCGCAGATGGTAATGCAACGAATCAAATATCTTTCTTTGAGAATGTGTGGAACCCAAATATCAAGCTTTGAAAAGAAACCAAGTTTCAGATGCTTATACACAGTCGAATTCGATAAATTCAATCTCAGCAATTTCGTGTTGTTAAATGACGATTTGCATCCACCAATGCTTCTGTTTGGTTTTCATCGGCTTCAATTGGCCTTTCAGAACGTGGTGCATCTTTGAGATCGAAATACCCAGAACGAAATTTCGAAAACCAACGTTTGACATTGGCGTTTAGTCAACACATCTTCATACACGGCACACAATTTTTTTCTTTCTTGCGTTGCATTTTGGCCTTTATGGTAATAAAAAAGCAAAATATGGCGAACATACTCATGTTGATTTTCCATTTTTGATGCAACGCCAAACAAAAATAACCTGAGAGATTTCAAAACAACTTTTTTTCAAATGAAGCTTGAAATGTGCGTAGTAAAAATGTAAAATAATTTTCTGGTTTAGAATAAGATTAACTGCTTAAAAAGACAACTAACACCATCTATTAAAAAAAAGCCAACTTATTTTCCTATACAGGGTATCCCATTTTAATGTCCAACCCCAAATAACTCTTCAGTATTGAAGTTTCAAGGAAAATTATCTGAATAAAAGTTGTAGGGATTTAAGTAAGCTACCTTATGATCACCTTGACTTTGACCTTGACCTCTATTTTCAAGGTCATTTGAAGGTCAACTTGCGTTTTTTAAATAGGAACCCTTATTTTTTATTACACTGTTTTCTTCTACTAATTAATTTGAACAACTTTTGTCTAAAACATTTTTCTATTTGTCTAGTATTTTCTGAGATATTTGAGGAAAACTTGATAACTTTTTCAATATTTAACTTATGATATCTCGCTAACTATTTGTCCGAAGGAAAAGTGATACTAGACTTTCTTGCTTTATTTAGTCTCAAGAAAATATTGTTACAATAATGCCTTGACTTATGTTAATTTATTGATTTTTGGAAATTTCAAAATCATCAAATTAACAAAATATACATAAAAAAAAATATACATATATATGTGTGTGTGCATGTGCGCGCGCGCGCGTGTGTGTGTGTGTGTGTACTTTTTTTGCATATGTGCAAAATAATGATAAAAATAATACTAATGAAAAAAAGTTGTAATTTGCAAAATACAGTTGCATAATAGTTACGATTATATAACTATTTACAATTTACTCTCCAACCTCACAAAGATATACAAAGCGATCCATATGAAGGGTTACTTAAGAACTAGACTGCCAGAAAATCCTAAAGAACCTTTGCCATATACAGCAGGGTGTCCCATTTTAAAGGACCTACTCAAATATCTCAGAAACACTGCGTTAAATCGTTTAAAAATGCTTAAGACAAAAGTTGTTTAGCTTGAAGGGGGACATAGGACAGCAATAGCATTTTGTTTATGGATGGCTCCATTTTCGAGATATTTATTGATTATCAATTTTCTTAAATGGAAACCCAAACTTTTATTATATTTTCTTTTCTACCAATTAATTTTAACAACTTTTGTCTGAAACATTTTTTTATTTGCTTAATATATTTTGAGATATTTAAGGAAAACTTGGTAACTTTTCCAACATTTACCTTACGATATCTCACTAACTATTCGTCAAAAGAAAAAATGGTATTAGACTCTTTTATTTTATTTATTATCAAGAATGTACTACTATAATAGCCTAACTTTTATTAATTTAATTTGAGATTTCCAAAGGTCGATAAGTTAATAAAAGTTAGAGCACTATTATAGTAATATATTCTTGATAGTAAATAAAGTAGAAAAGTCTAAGACTATTTTTTCTTTCGACGAATAGTTAGTGAGATATCGTAAGGTAAATGTTGGAAAAGTTACTAAGTTTTCCTTAAATATATCAAAATATATTAAGCAAATAAAAAAATGTTTCAGACAAAAGTTGTTTAAATTAATTGGTAGAAAAAGATGATATAATAAAAAACTGGGACTTCCATTTAAGAAAATTGAGTGAGTATCTCGAAAGTGGCGCCATCTATAAACAAAATGCTATCGCTGTCCTATGTCCTCCTTCACGCTAAACAACTTTTGTCTTAAGCATTTTTCGATTTAACGCAATGTTTCTGAGATATTTGAGTAGATCCTTTAAAATGGGACACCCTGTATATTTTTTACACAAGGTAACTTCTCAAATCATAAAATATATGTAAGAATTAGATTAATAATGATGTCATCTGCTAGAGTTTATCTGTTTGAAACTTTAAACTTATCTTTACTATACCCTTTAAGCGAGATGGATGAGGGCATAAGTTTGAACATAAATTTAAAGATACTTGGGATCTATGAAACATAAGACTAGATTAAAATTGATCGCTTAATTCTCGAGATACCAAGTTATTAAGACTTACGTGGATCATGTTGTATAAACAAATGAAATTTGTATTTGTATTTTTGCATCGGGAGTTAACGAGCTCTGTGTCGTTTCAGGTGAAACTTGGTGACGCGCATTACTATGGCAGAGGAACCAAAGTTGATTACGAGGCTGCTGCAGGTTACTATCGTTCGGCATCCGAGCAACAACAGAATGCTCAAGCTATGTTCAACTTGGGTTATATGCACGAGCGTGGCCTAGGTTTGGCAAAGGATCGTCATTTGGCCAAACGGTGCTACGATTTGGCCGCCCAAGTTAGCCCTGACGCGCAAATACCTGTAGCGCTGGCTCTGATCAAATTGTCCTTTCTCTTCAGTCTGGATTATCTGCAGGAATTCAGTTTGGTCGATCAGCTGGATAAGTGGGATCAGCTGCTCGGGCAGAACTGGGATCTTTATCTTATAGGTTTTCTCACGGGAATGCTTAGTCTTATTATATACTTCCGCAGACCGCAGCCACCTCCCCCACCAAGACCTCCTGTTAACTAAATTTTGTATCTTTATTCATTATTTCGTACATATATATATATATAAATATACATAGATTTTTCTAGACTAAGCTTGGAAAGAATTTTATAAGAGATTCGTCTAGCGGGAAATCATTTTTGATAACGTAATTCGTCTTTCCCAAAGTGACGCAGGCTGTATAATCTCGAGTTCGATATTATTTTGATTGCAATCAATCTAACGTAAATAACTTCTGGCCAGTATAGTGATAAAATTCATCAAAAGTTTTGTAGCGCTTTGGCGCGGCATACTCGATAATTATTGTTACCACCATTATTACAATTTTCTCTTACGCTTATTTAATTATCATCACATACAGACTCTGAGCTTAGTTCCTAGTTTGTAAAGTTCCATTATTATGCTCAATGTATGACATGTTTGTTGGAATATCGTCTACAAATTTTTATCGCAAGCAACTTTAGATTCCCCTTTCCGCAAAACAAATGCAGATGAAATTCATTCAGAGTTCACGATTCCACATATCGTATTATTTTTTTATAGGGATGCAAATTCAAACTGCAAATGAAGATATACTTTCAAGATGGTTATATAGCTTTCTTCAGTGACATGTTTGTAATTATGTTAGATTACACATAATATACATTAAGATACTACAAGACATTTCTGTAATATAAAATAAGAATTAAAAAGGTTGTTGATTATTTATCTAATAAAATTGTTTTATTGCCAAAGAATGTTACGATCTTGATATTATCGTGACATGTATGGTATTAATCTTGGCTGTGGAAGTAATTGTGAATATGCGCAGATGAACTTAATTGTTAACTGTATAAACCAGATGTAAACAATATCGTCGAATTGAAAATAGTATCACTTTGAAGTATCCTGTATATGTACACGAATGCTTCCTGCGTTTATTTAATATTTTTCGTTAACAATTTCCTGTGTTATTAATACCAATAAGTAATTATATAACAATTATGTTATTTTAATTGTGTTAATTATCGTGTTAAAATTTATGCGTCTCATGTACTCGTATGTTCATGCCTTTGAAGATGTGTATATGCTGAAAATACGGGCAGCGAACACCGATCCGAACAAACAGCGAATTCGGTAGATGTGTACTGGTAGCAGTTCACCGAGCGAACGAATATGTCAATCGGATGTAAGAACTTACTAAAAACTTAATGAGCGATCATATTACTGAATATATCCAATAGTATTCTGCCGAACTTGCTATCTCTTTTTCGTTGTTCGTTCGCTTAATGTGTCCATTTTTTTATGCACCTCTTCGTAGGTAAAACGGATCGAACGCTGGCAAACGTTTGTTACGGCGTGCATATTTACCGAATTCGCTGTTCATTGTTCGTTCGCTTAGTGTATGCGCACTTTTACGTATAATATATAATTATAAATATTTACTTATAGCGTATTTGAGTGGACCTGGATTAATCGACCAGAGGTCGATTACTGACGTCACAGGGCTCTACTAGCGCGCCAATTATAAAGCTTGCCCATGCATGTTCGACCCAAGAATCTGGGTTCGATTCCGGATTGATTAATCCAGATTTGCTCGAATACGCTGTTTATTGGCTCTCAGGGAATAAAATCAAAATAAGAAGGATTGGCAAATGAGAATTGTTTGCTAGTTATTGAGTGCGATAATTTAATGTAACAAGCAGGATAAAATTACTCAACAGTGTAATATGTACGTGTATATTAGATTGTGATATATACGATTTGTTATCCTTGTCATGGCAACGAAGATGGGCATATAACGAGTCCGAAGTTGCATTGACGTTTAGTATCGGGAAGACAATGCAGTAGCTTTCATCGAATTTATAAAGAGGATATTCCGGCTTAATCATGAAATTTCGTCGCGAGAACGTGTTTTTGATACAGTCTAAACAAAGCAGCGGTGAAGACAAAGAAAAGATAATAAATTTGCGTCTTACGTACAATTAATAACGAAGCGGATGATAAGATCAAGATGCTTAAAAAGAAGAAAGGCGGTAGCGAGAAGGTGCGGAAGAAGTGTTTGAACGAGAGAGAAACGGTGTCTTACGAACAGCAGATCCTAGACTACAATAGGCAGTTGTCACGGTTCGTCTATTATGAAAAATATCGATAATGACACTTTGCGAGAGTTCGTCCCATTTTTCACGCGAAACTCAATTTTCTTCCGCGCAATTCTACTTCAAGATTACGCAGTCGGAATGAAGAACTGGAAAACGAGGTGAAAGCCATCACGAAGAAATTCGAGCAGCTGAAGGAGGACCGATCCGACATCGTGGCGCATTTGAAGCGCAATTTGGAGGAGAAGACGGAAGAGGCGCGAGAGTTGAATGAGCGTTTGTCAGCTTTAGAAGAATTGAGGAAGCAGGAGCTGGCTGAATGCAAAGAGAAAGAGAGCGCAATGGAGTTCGAATACCGCACCATGGAAAACACTTTAAGTGCCGAAGTGAAACTCGCCGGTAATACGTCGAGTCGCAAATCTAATCGAGTTTGGGGAAGAGAGATTACAACACTTTCAATTAGTTTTGCAACTGTGTGCAGCAGAAGAATTCATCTCTTCGCGAGGACAAAGGTGGAAAGTCAATAAGGCCTGTTTTCGGCCCCCTCCAAAATTGGACCAAGATGAGTGGAATCATGACCCTTTGATGACTTTCTTAGACCCTGGGAAGTAATATTTAAGTTGCGTTCCGAAATTCACCAGTACTAAAAATACATAGTCACATATACTATAGATTTTCAGTGTTGACAGTGAATATCGGAATGCAGCCTCAGTTGATTCCAGCTTAAACGGAGGTATTTGGAGCTCTACCGGCATATATGTATGTATATAGATATATAACTGAATATACTCAATATAAAGGATGAAAAGACTTCAGAATCTGATTCAAAGTATATATATATATACTATTATAGGCACTATTATAGTAATATATTCTTGATAGTAAATAAAGTAAAAAAGTCTAATACTATTTTTTTCTTTCGACGAATAGTTAGTGAGATATCGTAAGGTAAATGTTGGAAAAGTTACCAAGTTTTCCTTAAATATCTCAAAATATATTAAGCAAATAAAAAAATGTTTCAGACAAAAGTTGTTCAAATTAATTGGTAGAAAAAGATGATATAATAAAAAACTGGGATTTCCATTTAAGAAAATTGATAATCAATGAATATTTTAAAAGTGGCGCCATCTATAAACAAAATGCTATCGCTGTCCTATGTCCTCCTTCACGCTAAACAACTTTTGTCTTAAGCATTTTTCGATTTAACGCAATGTTTCTGAGATATTTGAGTGGGTCCTTTAAAATGGAACACCCTGTATATATATGAACACATTACGGTGCTATTCTCTCTCCTCTTCCACCCCCTGACACGTATAAGCACGTAGATACGTGTAGTAAAATCGACGAAACTAGTGGAAGTGCATCATAGGGGGAGCCTTTAGAATGAATGACGATTTGTTTAGAATTTTTGGGGAAGATACATGTACTTTTCATGACAAAACAAATATATTTGGAACCACAATGGCGTATATATATAATCAATAAGAACAAATAATATGATTTCAATCACGGAGCTCCTTAAGGAACATTTATAAAAATCTATTATCTTTATATATATACGCTATTGTGGATCCAAGTATATCCGTTTCCGTCATGGAAAGTACATGTATCTTCCCCGAAAATCCTAAACAAATCGTTATTCATACTAAAGACCCCCTATGATGCATTTTCACTAGTTTCGTCGACTACGCATACCTACATGTAAGGGGACGAAAGAGGAGAGGAAGTAGCACCGTAGTGTGTCCGTATATGTATTTATATACTTTAAATCAGACTCTCAAGTCTTTTCATTCTTTATATTGAATATATTCAGATATATATCTATATACACATATATATGCCGGTAAAGCTCCAAATATTTCCGTTTAGGCTGGAATCGACTAAATATTACTTCCAAGGGTCTAAGAAAATGATTCCACACATTTTGGTCCAATTTTGGAGAGAACCGAAAATAGGCCTTATTGACCCACCTCCTTTTTCTATTGTATGCCGGATGCAATCTAAAGCTTATCTAGATAAAAAAAGTAGTAATCTTGTGACAACCTTGACCCCACTAGCTGCTCACACGGTAGGAGTGTGAGTAAACAGGAAACGAAATTACGTATCGTTTTAAATTTCCCATTAGCTGGCAAGCTGAACGCATTGGAAGACTGGAGATTAGCTCGTTTGGACCTGATGAATAAATTCGAAGTACAGGAGAAACGAATTGCGGAACAAGAGGAAGCGCACAAGACGGCGCTCTATGAAACTGAGAAATCTGTTATCATCACGAAGGCTAAGTAAATGACTCATTTCAATGGCACGAATGTCAAAGTAACACGCTCGGAAGAGAATCAATTAATATCCCTTTTTTTGGTTTACAAAGCGACTCCATATTGATTAAATATCTTGGAGTGAAGTCTCACTCAAAATGAGTGAATGAAAATTCACTCGGAACGATAGCGAAAATATTCTCAGAAAATACTACTCAGAATCGCAGGAGTGTTTCACTCCAATTTAGAACGGACATTTAAATCGATTAGAGTGAATTTGTTCCGGTGACGATCGAATATCAGATTTATTCCTCAATTCGGAGCAAAAATATTTATCAATGATTCAGAGTAGAAAATTCAATTTATACGAGTGGAAAATCATGCGAATTCGAGTAACTCGGATTCTATTTTTGCGATAGAATTTCACTCGAGGAAACTTAGAAAGAATAGAAGCTTAACCGATGAGTTTAAATCACGAAATATATGATAAATAAATGTAATTTGAGACATATTTTATATATATATTTATCTCATATTAGGGGGTTGCATTAATTTGTGCCGTCTTTTTACTTGAAATATTTATTATTTTTATATGTTACAATCAGACATCAATCAAACCAACTACTGCTTTCGACTTTTTGTCACCTTTCTAGTAAAAGCTGGATCCTTCATCGAAAGGACCTGCTTTTTAAGGCGGCTTATTATCGACCCATTTTCGAAATTCCTCGAGATTGGCGAATTGCGTGTGTTCCAAGACGTGTTGCATGGACTGGAATAAGTGAAAATTGAAAAGAGCAAGATCAAAGGAATATGCTAGGTGCGGGAGAACTTCCCACTTCAGGCCCATCAGCGTTTCTTTAACCGTTCTTGTTATGTGCGATCTAGCGTTGTCATGTTGGAGAATCACTTTCTGCCTATTACTGGTTACTGACGACTTTTTTGCATCAATTCGTCGTTCAATCGCTCCAGTTGGCGTTGATACGTGTGGCATTAACCGCTTCACTGGGATTCAAAAGTTCATACATTACGCCTTCCATATCCCAATGAATAGCATTATCTTCTTTCCGTGAATGTTCCGCTTTGGTGTCGATGTTGAAAGTTGACCAAAGTCCATCCAAGACTTCCTTCGTTTCAGATTTTCATAGTACATTCACTTTTCGTCCCCAATCACGATACACTACAAAAAATTCTTCCTATGTTTAACAAGCTAAAAAATGTAAATATTCAAGCAATTCAACTTTAAGCTTTGTGACAATTGATGAAGCACCCATTTTCCTTCTTTGTGCATTTTCTCTAGGTCATGTAGCCATTTCGAAACGGTTGATTTATCGACTCCGAGGATTGTTAACAATTCTTGGAGCCGGATTTCTGTGCCGGATTTTCATCTAATAACTCCTGCAGTTCCTTGTCAAATTTTTTCGGCTGTCTTGAGCGTTTCTTATCTCAAACTTCAATATTCTTCTTTGAAACGTTGCATCCATTTTCTATACGTTCTTTCAGAAGGAGCAGCTTCGCCATAAGTGTCCAGAAACAGTTGATAAACTTCAGCTGCACTTTTTCTCAAGTCAAAGTAGTGAAGAAGCACGTGTCGGAAAAACACTTTATCGCGTTCTATATTCGCTTCACTCTTTATCACCTTTCTCTGTACACAGAAACTACCTTTGATTGGATGTTGTTTATAAATGACGAGATATATAACCTCTAACATCTAGCGACTACGACATGAACTAAAATAATATCCAGAAATATCTGTTCCCAGCGGCACGAATTAATGCAACCTTCTAATATAGCATTACTTATATCATATATATTTTATTTCGTTTTATTGTCTCTATATTGCTGTACAACTAATTTCTCGAATGCAATTGATAATACTTTGTATGTAATACGTATACTTAATGAAATACAATAGTACTTTCTAAATTTCTTGAGATAAAATCTCACTCAAAACAAATAATTTTGCTTGAAATAATAATAAAAATATCGTCATTCGAATTGCGAGAATGAATCCTAGCACAAATGCCTAAAATTCGTTTTAAAAACTCATGAAAGATGTTTAAAACAAGTAAGACGTCTTTTAGATGTTAAAAATATCCTTTGAACATTTATGCTGTATCAGAATAAATTCTAATTTAGAAATGAATATTTTAATAGATTAATATATTCGTTCTAGTGACGACGATGTGCGTCAGACTCTTCAATTTCGAGCGAAAACATTCATTTGACGATTTAAAGTGGAAAGTTTACTTTATACAAGTAAAAGATTACTTCAATTTGAATCAGTCTGCTGTCACTCTACTTTCCGGATTAAGACGTGTGGAAATTCAATCGAAACGATCATGAAAATATAATTCATTTCGCGTGGAAACTAGACGATTCACGATGAACATTTCACTTTTTACAAATGAAAAGTAATTTAAATTCTAGTGACTCGCGACTGTCAATCTACTTTCCCACGAAATTCCGCTTCAAAAGGTTTAAAGAGTAGATTTGGACATTTTCATGTGACCAAATTATCGTCATTCTTCGCAATTCGACCTTTGACCTTTACCATTCACAAAGCATTATGTATTTCTTTCTCACTTTCATGCACGAACGCATTTACAGAATGCAGAAGGAGATGGAGGAACGCTTGAAGCAACTTGCTCAGGAGTTCAAGAAAGCGACGAACATCCGCATAGCGGATATGATGCATAACGTGATCAGGAGGAATATCACGCTCAATCACGAGCTGAACACGATGATGAAAGTTTGCCAAGACTTGGAGACGCAGAGCGCGGAATGCCAAAGCAACGACCGTATGCTTAGGTTGCAGTGTGAGTTATTCGAGGCGGAGGCGAAAATCGCGCTGAGCGATGCCATGAGACAGAAGCACGCGACGCACAAACTCGCGCACGAGCACATAGATCTGTTCCTCGAATACGGTCGATTGCAGCGAGAGAACGCGCGTTTCAGTAATTACGAACGAATAATGAACGAGTATAAGACGATATGCGCAACGTCGAAGGAGAAGGTGAAGGATCTCGAACTGCGCTTGCAGGAAATGAAGAAAGCCCGGGAAGACGTCTTAGTGGAAGTGCGAGAGAAATGCGCCGAATTTGATAGACTGAACGTCACCTTGAACGAAGCCAAACGTTGTGTGCTGGAGACTTTACAGGTATAATATCGCGCGTAGGTAGCTTGAAAATGAGTTAAGCAAAAAGATAAGATGAAATATATAAATTTCTGTTAGCACTTAGTCATGATTATATTAGATGAGTGCAAAAATTCGTCCGATCTCTCATTATAACTCTTTTATTAGGAGGTTGAATTAGTTTTGGTCCCTAGCAATAGATGGCTTTAGTTAATAACCAAGTTAATAGCCAAGTTAATATATGAATATTGAAATCCAGCAACACTGAAAGATTTGACATTTCTCTGTAATATATGAGTAGTTCGCGCACTATTGTTACTGCTAGTTTCATTGTTTACACGCGTCTAAAATGGATCGTAAAATTGCATTTTCGACATTTATTACTTTTTTTTATTACTTTTATTACTTTTTTTTTATTTGAAAAAATCGGTAACTGAAACTCATGAAATGCTTGTTACAAATTATAGTAATCAAGCTCCATCATGTTCTAACTGAAAATTTTGGTTTCAACAATTAAAATATGGTGATTTCGATTTGAGTGACAAAGAATGTACTGATCAACCAAACAAATTTGAAGATTCTGAATTGCAAGCATTATTGAATAAAAACACCGCTCAAACGGAAAAACAATTGGCTGAACAACTCAACGTCTATATGCCACGGGAAAAATTCAAAAGGAAGGCAAATGGATTTCACATGAATTGAATGAAAGTGCCATTGCAAGTCGTTTGAATATCGCCATGTCTTTGCTTGCTAGATAAAAAAGAGTTTTTCGTGACGAATTGTAACTGGAGAGGAAAAGTGAATTTATTTTGATAATCCAAAGTGAAAAAAATCATGAGTTGATCCAGATCAACCATCAACATTGACCAAAACGGAACATTCACTGAAGAAAGCAATGCTCTATATTTGGTGGGATATGGAAGGTGTGGTGTACTATGAACTTTTAAAACTGAATAAAACAGTTATGAGGGAGCGATACCAGCAACAATTGAACAAATTGAATAATGAATTGATGCAGAAAAGGTCAGCAATAGCCTGTAATACACGCAGTGATCTTTTGCATAATAATGCTCGTCCACATGTTGCTTCAATCGTTAAACAAACATTGTTAAAGCTCGAATGGGAAATTCTTTCGCACTCAGCGTACTCTCCAGACCTAGCACCATGTAATTACCATCTATTCCGATTGATGCAATACGTTTTGGCAGATACACACTTCAATAATTACGAGAATGTGCAAAAATTGATTGGATCTGGTCTGATTGGATTGCTTCGAAAGACAGATCATTCTATTATATTATCGCGAAATCACTACTAGTATGTTGCCAGAAAGATAGGAAAAAGTTGTAACTAATGACGGAAAATATTATTTTGATTGATATAAATTTAACCATTTCTTTAAAATAAAGATAAAAAATTGACAAAATAAGACCAGAATTAATTTAACCTCCTAATATTTAGTCGGCCAAACAAGGAATCTGCTACAGAAACTCGATTCGATTTGTTCATTTCAGTTAGCAAATGCGACATCACATATCAAACTTTAGAATATACTCAATTTCTATTTTGATGCCGAAATGCGACCGATCTGATGTTGAGTCTCTCAGCAACATTTTCTGCTGAAATTCGTAAATTATTTTGTACTAAATTGCGCATAATGTCATTATCTATGTCAGAAGGTCGGCTGAAGTGTAGCTGGTCGTCAAGATGGAAATTACCACTTCTAAATTTCGCAAACTGTATTTTAACAGTTTGAATTGCTGGTGCAGAATTGTAGAATGATACACAGCTTATACCAGCTTATAAAGCACAACACGCCACAACTGCATATTTTTTTCTCATTTCCAAAATCTTTTTCACAACAAATTCAATCAAAATACACAAGTCTTTCGCCCAAATGACAACTGAATATATCATTTTTTCAACGATGTATTTTATATACACATAACCATTGGTGCTACCATAAAATTTTTCTAATGACATATTGTATTAGGTGTACAACTTAATTCTCGGCCCCAAAATTCAATGACAGCTTCTATTCAAATTGAAATTTATTCCCGCCCTATGGTGGTCTGAAAGTACTAAGCCTCAGCTTTAGAATGCAATATAACAGATGGCAGCTCTGCTGATATAAGCTCAAAAAACAATAGTGAATGCAATGTCGTTCGAAAAGCAGCATTTGAGGCACTGCCTCTTTTTCGCTTTCCAATTTAAAAAAAATGCAGTTGAAGCACAGGAAATGGTTTGTTCGGCTTTGGACGAAAATGCTGTTTCCTACAGCACTTGCAAGAAGTGGTTTCAGAGGTTTCGAGAAGGAAATTTCGATCTTGAAGACGAACAACGACCGGGTCAGCCAAGAAAGGTTGTGTACTACGAATTGCTTGAACGCGGTCAAACGGTCAATGCTGAACGTTACAAGCAACAACTAATCAAAGTGAATGACGCACTGTGAATGAGCAAAAAAGATCATTTACTGGTAGTGGAACGAGGCAGATACTACTGCTGTATGATAACGCACGGTCACACACGGCAAAAGCGATCCTGGAAATCATCTCCAACTTGGCTAGGAAATCCTTCCTCACACGGCGTATTCTCCAGACCTCGCCCCATCAGATTATCAGCTGTTCCGATCGCTACAGCATCACCTAGTTGATTCGCACTTCCGAACTTCTGAAAAAGTCAGAAGAAGTATCGATGACTTCATTGAATCCAAACCACTATCGTTTTTCCGAAGTGGAATTCGAAAGTTGCCTGAAAAATGGCAGAAATGTGTAGAAAGTGAGGGAGATTACTTTTGAGATTAGGTAAATATTTTTTTTTTTAAACTGAGCATTGAAGTTGAGCAAAAAAGGCCGAGAATTAAATTGTACACCTAATATATTGAAATTGAGCACGAACTTTTGCACTTGTCCAGTAAATGGAATCCAATGCAATCTCAGTCTCGATATTATCTAATAGATGCAGTATTATCATAAACATCTACGGTGTGAAAACAAATATTTCAATATTTTATTATTTCCAGCAATGTAAAGAAATTGAATTATCTATGAATGTTGTCTTAGATAATTTTATAAAGGTAACACACGTTTCAATTGAAGATGAAAATATATATTTATCTTACCCAGATAGAGATAAATTGGCAAGCCAGAACTTTATCTGGATGATCATGTATATTATTTTATTGAGATAAGAGGTAATACACTTCTCTTAAGCTAATAGAACCAAATCAGCAGAATCAAATCGGACGTTATCGATTATTTAGTACTTATTTTGCACTAATTTTTATCACCAACAAAAATCAGGTGCTGTTTTGGAAAAAAACGGCACTGCTAGCTCAATATTAAGATAGCAGGACCATATTAAGAAAAAAAAGAGAAAAACGAAAACAAGGATAGAAATGGAAAGAGCTGATTTTGTACTAATTTGTACCATTAACAAAATTAATTTTAGTTCACACACACACACACATTTTATTATATCAATATGTGTCGAGAGTGGTTTTCCAAGGAAAGGCAAGAATACAAAATCTCAGACTTCATATTTATGAGGTACAAATTATTGCGCATCTAGTGTATAAACCGATTAATTCTGCTCACAGGAAAAAATACTTTGCTCTAGAGCTGATTAGAAATCGGGGGTGGTTTTCCAAGGAAGAGTGAGAGTACCAAATCTCAAACTTTATATTTGAGAGGTACAAATTATTACACTTCTGCTGTGTGAATACCGATTAATTTTGCTCACAGGAAAAGGTACTTTACTTTCGAACTGATTAAGGGTCGGGAGTAGTTTTCCAAGGAAGGGCGAGGGTACGAAATCTCAAACTCCATATTTGGGAGGTACAAATTATTGCGCTTTTGATGTGCAAGTACCGATTGATTCTACTCGTGATAAAGGATAGTTTATTTTTAAGTTTATTATAGATGATTTCATTCTGGGGTTTCAACCGAAATGGTTTAATATATTAAATTTTTGTTTTCATTTCTATCCTTGTTTTTGTTTTTCTCTTTTTTTTTTAACTGTGATCCTACTAGTTTAATATTAAGCTAGCAACGCCAGTTTTTTTCAAAACGGCACATGGTACAAAATTTTTGTTGATGGTACAAAATAAGTATTAAATAAACGAAAGTCCGGTTTGATTCTGCTGATTTGGTCCTACTAGTTTAAGAAAGATAACTAATACTACTTAAGTATTCTCAAAATTGGGAAAATTGCAAGGACTTGTTAGTTTTTAAGTAACGATAATGGTGATGAGTTATTGCTCAAAATGAATTCACGACAACGTAAATTTTTTTCAATAAACAACTTTTACTAGAATCATTTTTCTTTATTATTTCAACTATTAATCAAGAAAAATTGAAAAAAAATTTTAAATGCCTTAACATATCCTTGTTTTTTAGATTAAATGTTCAGATTGCCTTTCATTGACATTTAAACAACACTCTATTTCCAAATAAAATAGGTAGTACAGGTATTCTGATAGACCATTTGTATAACTGTTAATTTTATCGTTACTTTACACACGCAGAATATTTACATACATATAGAATAAGCAAAGTATGAAATACTAAAAGAAAAAGAAAGTTTTCAAAACTTGGTGAGGAAAAAGAATAGAAATTCTAACGACTTATCTTTCAAGTAACAATAACAGTGAATTACTTTTTTCAATGGGCTAAAGTAACGATAATTAGTTATTTTTAAATAAATAACGAAATTTTCCCAATCCTGCTCATTATACATTGGAAAAAGTAGCTCGTTATCGTTATTGTTATTATTAGATGTAAAATAAGTTCGGTACCTTTACATTTGACGTTTTGTAATTATGGTCCAAATTTACAATTTTTCCTGTCCTATAGTGATTTAAAAATATCAACAATAAGTTTTAAGAAAAGCTAAGTTAGCAGTCCTATCGATATAACTTCCAAAAACAACAATGAACACGATGTTATCCGAAACGGAGCATATGAGGCATTGCATTTTTCTTTTGCTTTTCAATTAATTTGAAGAAAAATGTTACTCAGGCTGCTAAAATGATTTGTTCGGGTGAGAGTGTTGTGACTAATAAAACTTATAAAAAGTGGTTCCAGAAGTTCCGAAATGGAAATTTTGCTCTTACTGACGGAGAACACAGTGGAGTGCCAAAAAAGTTGAAGACGAAGAATTGAAACAACTATTGAACGAAAATCCTTATCAGGTGCAACAGGAACTTGTTAAAAAACTTGATGTAACCGAACCAGCTATTTCTATATGCTTAAAGAAGTTTGGAAGAGTTGCAAGGCAAACCGTTGAATTCCACATGCACTTACCCCGGAAAATGAGACGCTGTGAGACGGCAATGTCTCTACTGTCATAATTCAAACAAAAGGACTTTCTTCATAAGATTGTAATTGGGCATGAAAAATGGGTATTGTATGCTAATCCCAAACGACGAAAATCGTGGTTTCATCCAAGTGAGCCATCAACAAGTACTGTGAAATCGAATATTTACGCTAAAAGAGTATTGTGTATTTGGTGGGATTTTAAAGGCATTATTTATTAAGAGTTGCACAAATCCGATAAAACTGTTACTTCTGAACATTATCAACAGCAACTCATTAACTTAAATGGCGAAATCGAGCGCAAAAAACCATTTACCGGCAGTGAAACCTAGCATGGTGATTCTGCTGCGCGGCTACACATGGAAAAAATGATCCTGAAACTTATTTCTTTAGGCTAAGAAATTGTCCCATATATGCGGCTTATTCTTCAACTTGCCTTTACGGATTATTACTTGTTCCGGCCGCTTTAGTATCACTTAGATTCCCACTTTCAATCTCCCGAAGAAGTAAAAAAAAGCATCGATGATTTGATTGAATCAAGACTACCATCTTCTTATCGAACCGGGATTCGCCAGTTACTTGAAAGATAGTAAAAGTATATGGAAAATGATGAGGACCTCGAAGATTAATAGGTTATTCGTTCTCTTTTGGGGGGGGGAGATAAACATTAAAATCATACTAAAAGGCACCAAACTTATTTATACATCTAATATTAAATAATTTAAAAAGAAATAGCTCAAAATAAGTTGCAATTTATATTATTCATTGCAATTTTTATTATTCCTTTTAAGACAATTTTCAAGACTTTTTTTATTACATAAATGATTTGTACATAGTCAATCCACTGTGTGTGTATGTATTATATTATATATACAGGATGTTCCAAAAGTAACGGACCATCCTAATAACTCTTCAGTATTGAAGTTTCAAGGAAAATGATCTGAATAAAAGTTGTAGGGATTTAAGTGAGCTACCTTATAATGTCCTTGACTTTGACCTTGACCTCTATTTTCAAGGTCATTTGAAAGACAACTTGTGTTTTTCAAATGGAAACTCCTATTTTTTACTCCGGATTCTGGAAGAGCGCAAAATTTTACGTTCAGATATGTATCTTTACAGGGGGTCGAAATGAACTGTAGAAGTCATTTGAAGGTCAAATATGTTACTGGTACGAAATAACTGGTAGATCGTGGTTTTTATGAAATATGATCCGAATAAAAGTTGTTGGGATCAAAGAGGGCCATAAGCTGGTGACCTTGACTTTGACGTTGACCTCCATTTTCAATGTCATTTAAAGATAAACTCGTGTTTTTTAAATAGGAACCCCTATTTTTTACCCCGGATTCTGAAGAGCGCGTTCAGGTTGTTGAGCATTCAGGTTGTTGTAGGAGTCAAGGCAAACGTTGTGGGTCATTCAAAGGACAAATAATGATTTGACCTTGAAAGCACCGTGCAGTAACGGAATACGTTGCCAATGTTCACTTGATTGAATAAAATATTAGGTAACTATTGCCTGCGTAGCAGGCTAGATTTTCAGATCCTATGTGATCCAGCTACTGAAGGCAAGATCGTAATGATCCAAGGTCTAAGTAGCTTCCGAAATTAGAACATCGTCGAAAAAAATCGTTTTTAATGTAATTTCTAAATTCATCAGAATTATTCGGACTTGTCTGATAGACTGTACAGTTCAGATAGCCTCGCAAAAAATATTCAAGCTTTTAAATCGTGTGATCAACTGAGCCGATTTTACTACTTCTCCTATGGGCTTCTAGTATTACCTAATCCAAGTTTAATGGATCAAAAGGGAAGTTCGAGCTGTTCCATTGAGTGTGACTGGGATAAATCCAAAGTAATATAAATTTCGTGTCAGAATCAAAATTGTAATATGGATTAATGTTGGAAAATAAAGGCTTATTCATGTTGTCATTAGTAAATTATGAATGAAGTTGACTATACTCACCCGACGTTGTTCTGATGCAACTACGTATTTCTTTACAGAGCATGTCATTACAAAAAGTTTCTCTCGAATTAAACAGTCTTTTTTGGAAATCTTCAAAAATTTTTTTCTTGTTTTTTGTGTTGTCAATTTCTACCTCTAAACTAAACTATGGCGTATGTACGACTTAGTGAGCAGGAACGATTGTCACTATTAATGATGCGAGGTTGGGGTGACCTTCAACGTTCTTACTCGCAAACTCGAACAATATTTAATCAAATGTTCCGAGATAATGGTCAGCCGTTAATTTCCAGATCTACAGTCATTCAAACTGTGGAACGATATGAAACTACTGGTGGGGTGAAAGATCATCAGAAATCTGGACGGCTTAAATCAGCTACAAATGAGGAGAATCAGATGGAAGTTGCATAAGCAACTTCCATCTGACTTGTAAAAAACTCTCACCTTTCTATTCGCAACGCAGCTGAACAGCATGGAAACACTCGAGCGTCCGTTCATAGAATCTTGGAGTTAATCAAATTTCATCATAAAGTTCACTTAGTTCAGGAACTCAATGAAGACGATCATCGAATAGAATTTTGTGAATTAATGATGGATTTGAACGACAGGGACCAGGATTTTTCTTATAATATAGTATTTTCTGATGAATGTATTGGGTCTATGCATAATTCCGTAGCGAAAATCGAATAAATTTCAAACGCAAAATATTAGGTTGTCTAAAAAGTATTGAGCCTTTGGAGGTCAAAATTGAGAATACATTTATTGTTATTTGAAAATAACATTATGAAACCACATATGTACCATTTTGTTCGATGACCTTCTGTCATTTTTCCGGCAACACCATAATCCCGTCGCTATAGAACTTCTGTGGTTTCCGGTCAAAAAATTGGGACATGTGGTTTTCACAGGTCTCTTTTGAAACTAACTTAACACCATTCAAGGAGTTCTGCAGAGACCAAAACAAATGATAGTCTGGCGGTGCCAGGTCCGGGCTATACGGTGGGTGCATTAAAACCTCCCAGCCAAATTCTCTCAATTTCTGACGGGTCGTTAAAGATGTTTGCGGTCTGGCATTGTCAGCGTGGTATACGACACCCTTTCTGTTGACCAGTTCTGGCCGTTTCTTTTGAATTGCTAGGTGCAATCGCGCTAATTGTCGACAATACAGGTCCAAGTCTATCGTTCTGCCTGGCGGCAGCAGCTCATGATGCATGATGCCCTTCCAATCCCACCAAACACACAGCATAATCTTCCTGGGCGTCAGTGTGGGCTTTGCCACAGACTGTGGAGTTTCTCCTCGCTTCAACCACGATCTTTTCGCACATTGTTGTCGTAGGTTATCCACTTTTCATCACTCGTGATCAACCGCTTCAGAAATGGCTTGATTTCGTTATGTTTCAGTAGAGATTCGCAGATAGAAATTCGATCGAGTAAATTTTTTTGAGTCAGATCATGTGGCACCCAAACATCGAGCTTCTTTTTGTAGCCAGCTTTCTCCAAATAATTTAACACTGTTTGGTGGTGGATGTTTAGGTCATTGGCGATGTCATGACTGCTTACATGCCGGTCTTGCTCGACTTTTGCCAGAATATCATCCACTTTTTCTGTGATTGATCGCCCACTGCGAGGAGCATCTTGGACATCGAAATTTCCAACAACGAAAGTGACTGAACCATCTTTTGGCTGTTGCTTTTGATAACGTATCTTGCCCATAAACAGCACAAATTTCTTCACGGGCCTGCGCAGCATTTGTGCTTTTATCGAAATAAAATTATAAAATGTAGCGCAGTTTTGCGGAAAGTTCACTTATCTTCACGGCGCAATATCTTACGTCTGATTATAAGAATTCCAACACTTTTTGTACGTCTACTAGCTTCAACTGTCAGCTGTCAAATGATGTTAGGCCTGCTGACCTGTTGCGACTCATATACCCTGAGATTTGGGACACTAACGCTATTTCGTGCGCAAAAGGTACAATATTTTTTAGATAACCTGATATTTAGCAAAGAAAGCGATTTTAATCAACTAGATATGTTCCATTCTGTTCAATGACATTCTGCCATCTCTCCACAAACTTCATAATCCCTCTTTCATAGAAGTCCTGAGATCTTTGGACAAAGAAGTCATCCAAGTGATTTTTTAGGACGTCCAGGAAACTGAAGGTTTTATTATTCAAATTGTTCTGTAGCGCCTCGAATAAGTGATAGTCTAAAGGTGCAAGGCCCGGACTATACGGTGGGTGTACCAAAACATCCCACCCAAGCAGCAATAACTTTTGCCGGGTCATCAGAGAAACGTGTGGTCAAGCGTTGTCCTGGTGGAAGACAACGTCTTTTCTGTTCGCCAATTCGCTTCGCCAATTCGGGCCACTTCTGATCGATTGCTCGCTTTAATTTAGTCAGTTGTGAGCAATACTTGGTCGAATCAATCGTTTTGTTGGGTGGCAGCAGCTCATAATGGACGATTCCTTTCCAATCCCACCGGATACAGAGCATGACCTTCTTCGGGTGTAATCCAGCCTTTGCGACCGTCTGAGCAGCCTCCCCGCGCTTCGATCATAATCTTTTTCGACTGATATTGTTATAGACAATCCACTTTTCATCGCCAGTGATCATCCGCTTTAAAAATGGTTCGTTTTGATAGCGTTTGAGCAGCAAATCGCAAGCTGAAATTCGCTCTATTAAATTCTTTTCACTCAGTTCGTGCGGCACCCAAACATCAAGATTGTTTACCATTCCAAGCTTTCGTAAATGTCTTGAAACAGTTGATTGGTCAATGTTGAGGTTATGTAGTCGTCAAATGCTGGTCAGAGTCGATTAAAGCCTTGATTTGATCGACATCAGTAGTGATTGGCCGACCAGAGCGAGGAGCATCTTGAAGATCAAAATCTCCGTAACGAAATTTCGCAAACCACTTCCAACACACACTTTCGCTTACGGCATTCTCTCTGTACGACGCATATCTTTTTATGAGTTTGCGACGCGTTTTTGCCTTTTCGGAAATAAAAAAGCGAAATGCACCGAAAATACACGTTTTTTCCTTCCATGTTCAAAATATAATTAAACTTCGTATACGTCACGGATCTCGATGAATACTTTCTTAAAATGTCGGCATAAATTTCAGCTTTCACTTAATGTACGACACTTCATATGTTTGATACATGTGCGAGCGGAAAAATAACTGTGAACGACATCTATCGGAATTTCGCTACGGAATTATGCATAGACCCAATAACTTCCACATTAAAGGGCGAAGTGAATAGACACAACTGCAGATATTGGAGTGACACTAATCCACGCTGCATGCAAGAATCTCGTACTCAATACCCACAGAAAGTGAATGTTTGGGCAGGTATTTTGAATAACTTAATAGTAGGTCCTTTTTTATTGATGGTGATTTGAACGCCGCAAAATATCTGGATATGTTAAAGAATCAAATAATACCAAGAATAAGAGAGATTGCAGGTGATAATTTTGAACAAACTTGATTTCAACAAGATGGAACAAGACTTTACTATGCCATAATTGTTCGTGACTTTCGTAATAATCAGTTTCATCGTCGATGGATTGGAAGAAGAGATGAAATCGAATAGCCTCCTCGATTCCCAGATCTATCACCACTTGACTATTTCCTGTGCGGTTATCTGAAGAGTAGAATCTATGAAACAAAGCCAAATAATTTATATGAACTCCGAAATCGTATTATCCGAGAGTGTACCTCGATGGACCAAGATATGATAAGAATATCTGTCTCTGATTTTTATCAACGCATGGCATATTGTCAAGAAGTTGGAGGCCTTCAATTTGAACATTTAATCCATTAGTTTTCCATTCACACATAAGTGAGGATCCAATCCCAGAAGCGACCTCCATCTTGCATCCATTGGTCGAATGACTTAGATCTTGCTTTCAGTGGCTGGATCATTACGATCTTGCCTTCAATGGTTGAATCACATGGGGTCTGAAAATCCAGCCTGCTACGCAGGCAATAGTTACCTAATATTTTATTCAATCAAGTGAATACTGGCAACGTATTCCGTTACTGCATGGTGCTCTCAAGGTCAAATCATTATTTGTCCTTTGAATGACCCACAACGTTTGCCTTGACTCCTACAACAACCTGAATGCTCAACAACCTGAACGCGCTCTTCAGAATCCGGGGTAAAAAATAGGGGTTCCTATTTAAAAAACACGAGTTTATCTTTAAATGACATTGAAAATGGAGGTCAACGTCAAAGTCAAGGTCACCAGCTTATGGCCCTCTTTGTTCCCAACAACTTTTATTCGGGTCATATTTCATAAAAACCACGATTTACCAGTTATTTCGTACCAGTAATATATTTGACCTTCAAATGACTTCTACAGTTCATTTCGACCCCCCGTAAAGATACATATTTGAACGTAAAATTTTGCGCTCTTTCAGAATCCGAAGTAAAAAATAGGGGTTTCCATTTGAAAAACACAAGTTGACTTTCAAATGACCTTGAAAGTAGAGGTCAAGTTCAAAGTCAAGGTCATTATAAGGTAGCTCACTTAAATCCCTACAACTTTTATTCAGATCATTTTCCTTGAAACTTCAATACTGAAGAGTTATTAGGATGGTCCGTTACTTTTGGGATACCTTGTATATATAAAGTAGTAATCCATTATTGTTAGCAAAAAGATATAATTATCGTTATCATTACTAACGAAAACAAGATAGAAATAATGTCGCTACTAGATAATTATTGAAAAAAGACAACTTACGGCAATAACGACGTTACAAATTATTTTCAGTCCTGAATATAATTCTGCAAAAATGTCCTTGCACAAAAATACTCCGATTTCGAGTGTGTATGATTATCACTAATGATAATAATTATCTTCAGTTGCAGAAACAGGATATTCGTACGAGTGATATCTGTACTTCATGTTGCGCCGATCAAAAACAAAAGATTATTCATTCATTGCAAGATATCCTGGAGAAAAGCAGTATTTCCAATATGGAACACAATGATTCACAGGTAAATTATCGCGATAGCGTAAGATAATCTCTTTTTGTTGTCGCTCTGGCCTTAATACCTGAGATATATGTGTGTGTATGTGTATGTGTGTATACATAGAGGAAGGTTGCTTATATTGGACTAGTTTTCAATTTTTTTATTTTTAATTTACAAATGCTAATAAAAATGAGATAAAGATTAAATAGAAAGTTATCCTTAATTTATTTATGACACTCTATATATTTTTAGATTTTTTGCACAACAATATCACCTACAAATAAATCTTTTTTAAAATCTTTGTAAGTTATACAATTTAGGCAACAAGTTGCCTAAATTGTACTACGTTTTCTAAATTATATCTTGTTTCCTTTATCGTACTGACGTAACTAATTTAAAAATTAGTTAATTTAAAAACTGTGTAAAAAAATAATATATAAATTTAAATAAATATGTTTTATTGAACAACTTGTATAAAACATTTTTAATTTTTAATTTTATACAAATTACAATTTGTATAAAAAACAAACTAAACAAAAATTTTTAATTAAAAAAATAAATGTTAAAATTACAAAAATAAAATATTTTTGTTTTTAATAATTTGACTAAGAAATTAATTAAAATCACTTACTTCGTATAAAAAACTAAGAAAACATTTCTTAATTATAAAAATCAATTTAAATTACTTATTAAAACGATTATAAAAATGATATCCATCTTTATACGAGGTTTGTTTTATATAAAAGTTGACTTTTTATATTCATGAAATCATTCTTTGACCACGTAACTAAAACCACGTAAAAATTGCAGAATTTATTTATTACATCCTCGAAATTAAAACTACAGAAATAAAAGTTCTCGTTTTCAGAAACTAATTTAGAAAATAAACAACTATTAAGCAAGAATCGGTTTCTCGTTAAAACAAGAAATAAATATAAATAACACAAAAAAATAAACTACTTCTTACAAACTTTAAGAATAATCACAATCACAAGTCACAGATGCAGTTTTCCTTGGAAATTGTATTATCAGTACAAAATAGGGACAATCAATAATGATGGTTTGATTAAAAAACCTAGTCGTGTTTTTCAAATTATAGCAGTAAAGTACTGCTATAAATTATAGCAGTAAAGTACTGCTATAAAGTATTATAAAGTAAAGCTGTGTCCGAACTGTGCCATGCAAATATGTTAATTTTAATGTAGTATGAAAATGATAAGCAGCTAAATTAATACACCTTTTAAAACTTACTAAATGCCTTACGTAAAGACGAGTAAAGCTTATTTCTAAGATTAAGAAACCTGTGGTTGCTTTCTTTAATAAAACACTCTCGTGCATAAACACTCACTTCTTTCTATTACGTATGTATGATCGATAGATGAATCGTGCATAATATGTAGCATTAGGCCTTCAGATTTCATAAAATATAAAGATCGTGCAATTTAGAAGCCGGTATAATATCGGCAACTTTCCTCTATAATAAAATAAATTTTCAACAAATACATGTATCTCAGTATCCATACGTCATCAAAAGTTGCAGCAACATTGTAACATTGTTGCAATATTGAAACAATGTTGCTGCAACTTTTTGTGCTGTATGGATACGTATCACTTTTCTTCATATATAATTCATAAATGAATGGGCTTTAAAAATGATATACATAATTTCGATGTACAATATATATGTATAATATACTGTAACTTTTAAAGTATCTCAGATAGATAGACATGTTAGCAGTAGCATGCGTGCATTCATTTTTTATTTTATGATATTATTGAAGCAGCATAACATGTTCGTAATATGCTTGCTGTAAGAAATACGTATTTATTATTCCATGATATTATTCTGCAGCAAAATATCAGTTTGTTTAGATTGCTGATTAATTGCGTCCTCTTGCCGATACAATTGTGGCATGTGCCGCAATTTTCATGGCATTAGATTGTTTCTTTTACATGCTGCTACAATGTTTCTTGTATGAAGACGCATCTTTATGTACTTATGCTGCTATTTTAATTCTCGAATTCAATCTCTATGCAATCTGCCGAAATTTGTCTATCTGGAGTGTTTTTCTTAGCAAATGGTATATCAAAAGTACTTTCAGGTGGATGAAGATGAATTTTAACAACGGAATGTGACAAGAAGAAGCACACAAAGAATTCCCAATCGAGCTTCAAGCGAAAGAAAAAGCTTGCACACATTCGCGGAAAGAAATATCGGCTCGTTCCTTGATCGATACGCATTGCACGCGTAATAAACGATGAGCCCAATTGCGGTTGCGATCCGCGTCAGAAAACTTTACATATGTAGTCAGTACGTTCGTAAATTGATCACACGATAAAATGCCAATCTGGCTTTGCGTATGCGCAAAACGGAGAGCGCGCATCGCATCATCTGTTTCGGGGAATCTCAAAAATCTTCTTTATTCCCGATTATTCGCGATCATCGCTGGTTCACACACGCTGGTAGAGTCTCGCTCTCTGGCGGCGCCACATTCCCATTTTTCCGCTATTCCGCGACGATCAGCGAGGCTTCTCACCGAGGTCTACAATATCCGCGGCCGGCGGAGCGTAGCGAGGTTACGCGTTGCTCTCCTCACTGAATGCGCCTCGCAGCTGCATTAACGCGGCGCACTCGGCCTGAAATCATCGTGGGAAAGCACATGAATAACAATAAAGCGCTGACGAGACCGTGGTAGCGCGTCATTTGCGTCGCGGCCGGCTGACACCTGCGACCGCGTGCGTCGCTGCGAGTCGCGCTTCGGGAGCAACCTCGTGACCAGATTCGAATCGGTCTGTATATCGGCCCGCGTATACGATGTGATCGGAACAGCGACCGCCGGAGATCCGAACACCATGGAGGGCAGAGCAGAAGAAGGTAACATCGCCAGAATGCCGAGCAGCGCGGGTGTCGCGGTTTTGAACGACGATCTGGAGTTCTGGATGACACGGTTTCCCGCTGCGCTCAAGAACATACCCATAATATACCTGGCGATACCCGGTATGTTCGAATCTTTCTGCTTTACGCAATGTCATGTTTCTGTCTGAGGCAACGAATGTTCAAAATATATAATCCTTCTACCTTAAGCTTCATTCACGTCTAACCAGCGACGCTCATTAAATACCAAGAATAATAGGAAATTATAGATAATCTGGAAAAAAAGATAGGTGTCTGATGATACATATAAATCTCTCGTGAACATGTAGATTAGGTCAAACCAAATAGTTCATGTACATATAGATCACACATACACTACTCAGAAGTTGGTACCATTTTACGAATACACGTAGATTTTCAAGGTTCTTCTTAGCTGAACTAGTTTGTACTTTTTGTCATTTAACGTGAAATAAATATCATATATAAATTTACGATGAAGAGAAAAGGAACGAAGTTTCAGTGTAGTACTAGTTCAGTTAAAAAGGACAGACTTTAATTGTTAACTAAGGATATTGATATATACGTATGTGATATATACGATATGATCTTCTTTAATTAATAATTAAAAATCTACATGGTTATTCGCTAAATAGTGCAGGATTCTTTCGTCCAATTTGATCTAATCTGCACATACACAAGATATTTATATGTTCTTGTGAGACACCCTATATAAATTTTGCTTCTATGTAGCCATATACAGGAAGACTTAAAACTTGATACTCAAAAGAAAACTACACGATTAATTTTAATCGTTCCGGACGATTCCCTAGATCCAGGGGCCTTTAAATCTGTGCAAGATTTACCCTTATTCAGCCTTTTGAAAGATCATAACAGAGGAATTTGAATAATAATTTCTGATATCACTATTAGTTTAACATTTTTCGTGTCACATATACTTGGATGGTATAGGAAATTCGTCTATGCAAAATATGTAGTCATATATGTTTTAAAACTCTTAGAATTCTCTGGCAATTTAATGGTTAATTCATACAGCACAAAAATTGCATTACATTGTTGCAACGTTGCATGTTGCTGCAACTTTCTGTGCTATATGGGTAAATTTTACATCGGCCTGTATAATTATACGTAATTATATATCAGAGATATCGATATCGGTAACTATACTTATTATATAATTGAAGTAGATGTTTATATTTACGGTAAAAGTATAATGTCGATTGTTAATTGAATAAAACCATTTTCTTCTTCATTGAACAGAACTTTTCCTGTAGAGACATATATAATTGTATATAATTATATATGTGACTATATAAAAACTAAATTCATATATAAATCATGTATAATTACACATAAAAAAACATATTTTTTTTTATATAGTTTTATATAATCATACATAATCATTTTCCTGAAAATTTTTCTTTACCATTCGATCAGTGAGCAAAAATCTTAATAAGTATAAAATAACAATGTGACATTACATTCATATTGTAATTTTGTGCTCACTAATATATGACATAACACATATCAACATACATAATAGTTACATTGTCGAATGAGAATTTATAACATTGATATAATGTTATTGTTGATTAATGTTCACTTAAAGCTTATAACACTCTTATCTCGATGAGTATCATGACGCATCCCGCATTCAATAGGAAAATTTGTTCTTTTTCATAAATTTCTAGTAGAAGATATATTTTCTTACTAGACACAGAATACGATGCGAAACTCGAAGTAAAAAGTATTACAACTTTCTGTCCCCTGATCTATCCATGATCGAAAGCTGAAGAGAATTAATTATTGAAATTTAAAAGATGTGTGTGAGACAATTTTCTAAAAATTCATAATACCGAAATCCGAACACCGAGTAGTCTCCTGAAATATTGTAACAGTTGTACAATCGAGTGCATTAATCTTATTATTATTATTATTTTATTATTATTTTATTTATCTTTTTTATTATCTCTATTTATTTTTGTATTTTTATATTTTTTATATTTTTGGTTATATTTATTTTATTATATTATTTTATGTTATATTTATTCGTATTTATCTTAATGTTTTTATTATCTTCTCATTTGAATGCAGGAAGAATAGCATAAAGCAATCAGTAACTACAGCAAGTATTCACAGAGTGTATTCACATGAGTAGATATTAATATTGTTGTGTGTGTACTGTTTTTAGAGTAATAAATCCTTGAAACGATTCCTCAACACGAAATCCTTGAAACAATTATACAAAGATTGCACTTCGGGAAAATTGCCTTCCGGATTTTGGTATTATGACTCTCGAATTGTTGCAATTTCTAAATTCCGAAATTGCTTCGAAGTGCTCGGTCCGGTTTCCAAGTTGGAGTCTTCACATTTTTGTTTCTAACGTTTCGTGAGCACTTCGGTTCACTCGATGACAAGAAGAGAAGTAACTCGATATACTGAGTCGCTCCTCAGTAGCCATTCCTTCATAAATGTAGACAGTTTCGTTCGACGTAGTTTCCTCCAAGTGTGGTAAAATGGGTGTAAACACAATGACTCAATAATCCATATTTAGCAGCAGATCGAGAGCGATTATAAAAAGAAATAATTTCCAACAGGTTCCCACGACACCATGACTTATACGATCGAGAGGCGCAACGACGTGGGGCCGGACGAACCTACCGTCATCCGAACGCTCGGTCGTTACTGCTCGTTCGTTGCCAAGCCTATTATCTTAAATTGGTCTATTACACAACGTGACGATGTCAAGCAACAGCTCAATGGCGGAATCCGATATTTGGATTTGCGCGTCGCGACGAAGCCGAGAACCAAAGATATATACTTCCTGCATGGCTTGTACGGCTCAGAGATCAGCAAGCCACTGATGGAGGTCGCCGACTGGCTCACCTCGCATGCCAACGAGATCGTTATCCTGGATTTTCAGCACTTCTACGCCTTCACCGACGAGGATCACCATCGTTTCATAGAAAGGATCAATCAGATCTTCCGCGGGAAACTATGTCCGGTCTCGTCTAGGTTCGACCACATCACGCTACAGTGGCTAATTCTCAAGCGGTACCAAGTGTTCGTCATTTATAGAAATGTTTACGCGCACAACTACACGGGTCTGTGGCCGTCTGGTCTCTGGCGCACCATCTGGCCCAACACCGTCCGCGTAGACGAGCTGATTGACTTCCTGAACGTTGAACTGCAAAACAGATCGTTAGATATCGCCTTCGTGTCGCAATGCCTCCTTACACCGGACACGCCCTACGTTTTAAAGCACCTGTGCGGCACCTTGCAAAGGGATCTGGTGCCGCTCTGCCGGAAGGCGATTCTCTCTTGGATCAGTCAGAAACGACCAGGCCGCGGCGGGCTGAATATTGTCATAGCGGACTTCGTATCGGACAACAACTTTCTGTTTTCCAAAACGGTCATTCAGAACAACACGAAGCTGCTGCACAATCACCCGGAAGCGTTCTAGATACGCTTCGTCGCGCTTCCGCTTATTTAAGAGTACAAACGCAACAACAGCCTTGAACTTAGAGGTTTTCACCGGTGCATCATTCAAGATATCTCTATGACATGTTAATTCCGTGCCGATGAATTATCACACGAAGGATCAATTGCTCAGCACGCAACAAATGCTTTTAGCGATATAAATCAACACAATATTCCTTTGTTATTCATTCAATGTGGAACAAGGATAAAAAGATATTTCTGCCAATTGTGCTAAATGGAAAGCATCCAATAAAATGGTGTCGATATTTTAAAATTTAACATGTATTATTAGTTATTGATGAATGTATATTATATTATTTAAAGTTTTCGGTCTATCGTAGTCAATTATACATGTCTGCAGTGTAATGTCTTCAATACTCGATGACTCGATTAAAAATTATTGTTTAGCACGTTGTTTGGAAACTAGACGTGTTTATAATTATAATTATATATAGAGTGCATAAAAAGTATCCAGATGGTATCCAGATATCTCGAAAACTATTTAGCATTTTAGAAAAAAAATGTTTTAGACAAAAGTTGTAAGTAAAGTTGTTTGACAAAAGTTGGTTTCAAGGGGGACATAAAAAGACTACATCATTTTATTTACAGATGGCGCCACTTTCGAGATATCTACTGATCATTATTCTTTTCATAAATGGACAAAACCTAATTTTTTATTATATCTTTATTATATATTTTTACATCTATTTATACCAATCTATCTATATCTATTTCTACTAATTAATTTGAACAATGTTTGTCTGAAACAGTTTTTTTATTTACCTAATATTTTTTGAGATATTTAAAGAAAACTTGGTAACTTTCTTAACATTTAACTTACAATATCACACTATTTGTCGAACAAAAAAATAGTGCTAGACTTTTTTACTCTATTTAGTCTTAAGAATATATTGTTATAACAGTGACCTGACTTTTGTTAATTTGATGATTTTGAAATTTCCAAAGGTCAATAAGTTAACAAAAGTTGGAGCGCTATTGTAACAATATATTTTTGAGACCAAATAGAGTAAAAAAGTTTCATGTCACTTTTTCTTCCGACAAATAGCAAGATATCGTAAGTTAAATATTTAAATATACAGAAAAAGTTATCAAGTTTTTCTTAAATATCTCAAAAAATATTAGACAAGCAAAAAAATGTTTCAGACAAAAGTTGTTAAAATTAATTGGTAGAAAAAAATGATATAATAAAAAATTGGGATTTCCATTTATGAAAATTAATGGTCAGTGAATATCTTGAAAATGGTACCATCTATAAACAAAATGATATAGATGTTTTATGTTCCCCTTGAAACCATACAACTTTTGTCTGAAACATTTTTTTCTAAAATGCTTAGTTTTCGAGATATTTCACCGTCCCGGTACTTTTTATATACTCTGTATATACAGGGTGTTTAGAAAAAAAGGTTCAAGACAAGGGCAAATAGTACTTACAAAATGGAGGAAAAAAGTCCTAACAAACATGGATTGAAAAATTAATATTGTCAGAATTATGAACAATTATTTATTTTAATTAAAGCAAGTGACTTACTCGCTTCTAGTGCTCACAAAATCCATAGAAGATTTCCTATATGTTCCCTTATTTCTACATATACTTCATATCTTCACATTACAAAACTGCAAATTTTCAAAAATCCACGGCTTTGTTGTAACTATTTGTTAGATATTTATTTTCCGATGTAATTCGTCTGTCATTTATCGGTGAAGAATACATCATGAAATTCCCATAAAAGAAAGTCCAGGAGATTTAATCAGGAGAAGGAAACAATGGGACTGGTTTATTCCGTCCAATCTATTTTTCACTGAAGGACTTATTTAAATATAAAACGAATTATATAAAAAAATACAAGATACTTATCAAATAATCAGGCCGAAATTTTTGAAAGAATTCGCAATTCCATGGTATGAAATTGTGAGGTATGTTGCAAAAATAGGAGAACATGTAGAAAATCTGTACACTTTGCAAGCACCAGAAGCGAGTAGTCACTTGCTTTAATTAAAATACATAATTGTCCATAATTCTGACAATATTCATTTTTCGATCCATATTTATTAGGTCGATTTTCTACCATTTTATGAGTACTATCTGCCTTTAAAGTCCTAAACCCTTTTTTTAAACACACGCTATATATATAATCATTTATTCTCAACTTTGCACTCTCTAGGATAAGCTTAAGTCTAACTTTTTATACAGTTCCACTTACAATGGATATAATAACAATGAGAGCACTAAATACGTTTGATAAATATATTATTAAGTTGGAATAATATTCTTAAATAATATAAATTGTTAAACTGGGACGATAGATTCATGTCGAGTATAGAAAGTTTCTTGGAATGTTAGTATGAATCTTTTTTTAAATGCGAATGCTTTAGATGCGTCGCCCTCAGGACGATAATTTCAGAAAGCAATAATTTCATCGCTACTTTTTGTTGATCGATTCATTGGTACGTCCATGTAGTATCAAGAAAAGGCATGAATATTATTACTACGTACATATATGTACATATAGTATACGCTAGAGTTTATTACATTTCTCGTTTTCAACATGAAATATCTATGATATTTAAGTATACAAGCTGGCAGTAGGGCAAACAAAGTATACATTATACAATAAATTACAGGATATTCTCGTTCGCACAGTCGTTTGTACTTTCTTCGATAAGTTCGATACTTCGCGCGAGAATGTCGAGTGAATAGGAGATAATCTGACGAAGGATACAAGTTTGACTTTATATCTTGTGAGTAATTTGAATGAAGTATATTTTTTCAATGTATCTATGAAATTTCTTCTAGAGTATTTCAACGATAATGATGAACTCATGGCTCTCTAGAATTCGCACTGCACTCGCTAATCTCGGTCGTACCTGGTCATAAGGCTTTCACCTTGAGCTGCTTCATTCTAGGAGCGCGCTTCTTCGCCAACCTACGTTGTTCCTTCTCCTCCCATTTACGCTGCTTTTCGGGATCTTCCTCTTGAAGGATCCTTTCCTTTTCGGCTCTGCGACGTTCCTCTCGCTTTTGCGCCGCCGCTTCGGCTCTCGCCGCGTGCGTCGTCTTCAAGAAAGCTTCCTCCACTCTGAGTCGATTTTTATCAGCCTTGTTTTTGCCCTGCAAATTTGTTATTCAAAAATGCAAAATCTCACGAATGTTCCCCATTATGAAGACTCTTATTTTCTCGTTCCAATAATTAATAAGTCAGCCATAAAATTGACAAGACATAGTCTGCTTTTTATCTAGGTGATTTTGTCACATTATTTTGTTTTATATATTTGCTCAAACAAATATAATACAATTATCATTGCATGAATGTCTACTTATTCTTTTGCTTATGACATCATTAATCGAGAGAACGCGACGAGCGAGCAGGAACCTTGAAGCGAAAAGATACAAACCTCCTTAGACAATTTGAAACGTCGTAGCTTATCGAGCAAATAAAAAGTGAAATGAAGTAATATCTTAAGTTTCTGTCGAGTCTCCACGTCATAAGTGCGGCCTTTAAGACTTATATTCAGGCCTACCATCAGCACCCTCCTCACCTCAGGCATTGTCAATTGAGCAGTGTCTCTGGAATAAAATTGAAATATTAACATTTTGCACTTCGAGCGAACTAAATAATGGAGCTATCTAAAATCTTTTATGAAACCCGACTGAAAAAATCACAGTAACATTTGGCGAATTTAGATCTAAATGTATAAACTAGTCATTACTTTAATTGAAAAGCATATTTCGCGACAATTTTTGAATTTTATAAAAAAGTTTAGATATAACACAGCACTTTTAGAGTGCAAATGATTAACACACAAAGGATAATCATGAATTTTCTTTTGTAACATATAATAATTATTAGCACAGCCAATTTCATGTAATGAGAAAACAAAAAATCTCGTAACCAATCTTTTGCATTTGAGATTTGAGAAACAAGAAATCTCCCAACTCATCTTCTGTGTTAAAAGAAGTAAATGTTATAAGCATTGATCAAATAATCAAATATTTAGAAGAATAATCAGATATTTATATTTACTCTTATTAGTTTCTATTTGAGTAGTATATAAATAGTATTTTCTCAGCCTACTATCTATAAAATATTCAAATCCTTATAACAATTAAAAATTAAAAATTATCTATATAACAAAAAATTATTTACATAAAAATTAAAAATTAAAAAAGTAAAAGTTTTATCTATAGATCTTTAAGCGTTCCATTAAAAAAAAATTTATTTCTTATAAGTACTGATATAATCGCAATGCAATATAAATAATATGATCAATAAATCTTCACTTACTCTTGTTGCTTGCGTCCACTAAATTGATCACTAATGTGAATATAATCTATGTGAGGTGCAAACTTTGAGAAGATATACTGAACCCTAGTGTCCAGAATAGCCGATGCCGCTTCTGCGATTTCGGACATCACGCAAAAACCCGATGGAAGACCGAACTTCTCTGCCGGCCGTTTCTCTGGACAATACATACTGATATCAGCCATATCACGTACCAGATGCATTGCTGTTCGCTTTGAGGCAACTGCCAGTACAAAATTATCTGTCTCATCTTTTGAGATCTCTACATGTATATGAGCTTGATCATTTTGCGGGCGTACCAGCTGAGCTAACACAGCGACTAAATCTTGTCGTTTGATTAATTTCAACTCAACGAGCATCGAATCACACCCGACACGTCCAGAACAATACAAACTATACTGGGATTCACTCTCTTTCATCAAACCGTTGTCGTTTGCATTGTCACTTGATCTACCTGTATGGCCAATCAAAGAGAAATTCTCATTCAATACTTGCTGCTGATCCATCAGCCATTGCTCAGCTATACGAGCATTTCTGGAACGTCCTACCATGTAATTGATAAAATACACTAACAGTCCAGTGATCATCAGTATTTCTAGATAAAAACTATCCCATCTGTCCCGCAGATGTAATGGAACTTTTGTGATAGTTAACGTGGAAGGCTCATCAGTTTTTGGACCAGAGTTACCAGTTGTAACATCCAGTCCCTCAAACTCTTCCTCATCTTGAAAGTGATCAAATTCACTGTCTCCGTCTGCAACCAGGACATCGTCTTCCTCAAAGTCCTGATTCAAATTGCTTTCTTGAGCTGAATCTACTACACGTTCATTGTGTATATTCAACTTCTCTTCTTCAAAGTCTTCAAATTCTGCAAACTCATTGTCTTCAGGTATTTCCTCATGGAAATGAGCTGTGACCCATAGATTAGTAGCAACTAATATGATATGCACTATCACAATCCACAATTTCATGTTATCTGGAATAGTAAAGAATAAACTCTATATACCTATATATACATAACTGCAAAATTATATGTAAAAGAACTGTATAGTATTTTATATTTTGCCTTAAAATTATGATCAATATATATTTCACTAACAATTCCACTTTGAATTTCTTGTTGAATTTTATTGAAGAAATACATGATTATAAAAATATTTACTATAATAATACAACTAATGTAAAATTTAGCTAGTAATTGCATATGCAATAAGTAATCAGTATATTTCATTCCGTGATATTTTGAAGTGTGTGACAACACTGAGATAGAATGAAATGTTCAGAATTGAAATACAATGCCGAGTCCCATTTAATTAACCTAACATGTATCATCGGACTTACGCTACTAGTGATATATATCTTATTAATAGATAAAAAAGAATTTATATGAAGAGACGACTATTTTTCGTCATTGATCTCGATTATGAAGTAAAAGAAGCGAACTATAATGAACACTATGACAATACTACACCAATGAAATGTAAATGACTTGCGTCGACTGCATGCCACGAAGTCACCATCAGACTGTACGTACCGACGTCATTTCCTCAAAGGAATTTTATAATTTCAAATTTCTTATTGTTTTTCTTCGTTCATATGTTAAGTACGAAATTTGCATGATATATAGGTTATTTATTTATTTATATTTTTACTAGTATTCCTGTAGATAAAACATATGAAACAATACTCTTTTGGAAAACCTGCTTCATTAATCCATAAAAAGTGATAGAATAACAGTGACAAAAATAAATGTTCTTCATAAATCTACATAGTGACTGAAACACACTTTTTAATATGTATTCTGGTTACATGAGATACATATTTATTTAGACTAATTCAAATATATTTTTGTTTTCGTAATATCTTATCAGTATCATCAGAAGAAAGAACAAAACTGCCTTTCTCATGAACTACGTTTACACGGCAAGGTTAATCCGGATTAGTAACAACCGTAGTTAGTGAATTCTTTGATTCGATTGGTATATTCTTTTAGATCTAAAAATATACTCTAATCGGATTCGAGACTGCACTAACTACGGTAGTTACTAAGGTTGTGTTCCAATATTCACTGCCAGCACTGAAAATCTATAATATACGTGACACAAACTATGTATTTTCAGTACTGGCAGTGAATTTTGGAACACAGCCTACGTCGAAGTTAGAAGCCGTGTAAACATAGTCTATTACACATGGGCCGGGGGGTTGGGGAGGGAATACGGGAGTAGTTCCCCCGACTCCCCTCCTCACGGTCCGACAGGTAGACATCCCGCAGGGGTTTTAGTCGGTAAGAGTCCGACATAACCCCCTTCCCCTCCAAGGGGAGGGGGTATCCATGATGGATTTCCCCTGCGTGACCAAAAAAAAAAAAGTCTATTACACATAAGAGAATAAACCAATTAGTTTTCTTTATTTCCCTCCTCAGGACAGAAATGAAGAACTCTGATTGGTTGATTCTGTTATGCGTTGTGTATTATGCGTTATGCAGAAGTCTGTGCTCTGGCCCTATATCTAGAATGCGTTCCGTTTCACGCATATGCGCTCATTTATCTATAGTTCATGTCACGTATAATATAAAAAATGCGCGCATATGGGTGAAACGGAACGCACTCTTTGGGCCAGAGCACAGACTTCTACCAGAGAGAAGCCTGTGCTGAGGATGAAATCAGATGGACGCGGAAAGCGGAGAGCGGAATAGAGAGGCGTAAAAAGGCAGCCAATCAAAATAAGTCCGCTCGCCGAATAAATATGCGTGTGAAAACGCGCGTGAACTGACGAACGGAATGCACACTCAACAATCAGTAGATCGCGGGTTAGATAACTTTAAATCTACTTATTTTTTATTTTATATTTGAAAAATGGATTCAAAAGATACTAGAAATCAAGTAAGTTTGTATATAATTAAAATACTATCAATAATTTTTTTATTTCGTTAACAAATATAAGTATATATATATGTATGTATAAATATATATATAATTTTTACAGTATTACCGTTGTAATTATTGTAAATTTCGATTGCCTACACAAAATTATAACCTTCTAGATCATAGTTGTTTTGCAAATATGGATGTAGAAAAGGAAACATTGTATCTCAATGAAAAAAATATTTTATATAAAGGTATGATTATAGCCTTATGATAGTAAAATATTAAAATGGTTTAATATTCTAATTAATAAATAATTATTTAATATAGGGCCAAGTGTAGAGAAAGAATGCACTGAACAGACTCGTAATACAGATTCTTGTGATATTAACTATAATAATAATGAAGAAATGTTGCATGATGAAACACTTACTGCTGGCAAAAAAAAGAAAGGAATAGGTAAAGAAAATAATGTTTGGAAAGATTTAGATGAAAAATTAATTCAAGCGGTTCAAGAAAGACCATGTTTATGGAATCATCAGTTACAAGTTAAATGTCGAGGTATTTATAATGTAAAAGAGTTGTGGGCACAAGTGAAAAAGGATTTAAGGGTCTACAGGAGCCAGAGACAAATCCAGCGTTGACTTTGGAGGCCTCGTGCGGTGAGATCGCGAACCAACACCGTGCGCGCGAGCGCAAGAGCAGGGAGGTTGGGTCAAGTCAGTTTGACAAGGACGAACAATCGATCGCACTGTCCTTGTCTTACTCACTCGGGCATTTCGCCGGCCGATACACGGCGAGAAAATGCTTTGCAGACTTTTGGGTGAATGAGCTAAGCGTCGCAGCGACTTACGTGCAATACCATTTTACAAATTGACGTATTTTGTCTAGCTGACATTATATATCACCGCCAAATTATTATAGCATGTTCCTTATATTATTCCCGAGATCTCCACAAAGCCAGATTTTGCAATCCGGCCGTCCAAAATTTATGAAAAATAAATGAAGCGTCCGCCGTACCAAGCATCGCAGCGAATCACTCCAAAAATTATTTTACAAGATGCAAAATTTCGCCTCGTTGAAGATACGTATAATTGCTAAACTGTTACAGCATCTTCCTTGAACTATCCCTGAGGACCTTATACAGCCAGATTTTACAATTCGGCCGTTCAAAATTTATAATATATAAATAAAATATCAACCGTACTAGGAATTGCAGCGAGTTAGGTGGAATATCATTTTACAAGAAGCAATATTTTGCCTTATTGACGTAATGATCATGAACTTGTTATAGTTACTTGTTATATCTTCCTACAACTATTTCCGAGATCTCTACAGAGTTAGATTTTACAAACAGGCCGTCAACAATTTATTATACATAATTAAAGCGTCAGCTGTACCAAATATCGCAGCGAATCAGGCGGAATACAATTTTACAAGAACAAATATATTGCCTCGTTGACAATATATATAACCACCAAATTATTATGGTATCTTCCTTGAACTATCCCTGAGAACCCTACAGAGCCAGATTTTGCAATCCGGCCGTCAAAAATTTATCATACATTAATAAAGCGTTCGCTGTACCAAGCGTCGCCGCGAGTCACTCGAAATATCATTTCACGAGATGCAAAATTTCGTCTCTTTGACGATACGTATTATTACCAAATTGTTGCAGCATCTTCTTCGTACTATTCCCAAGATCGGTACAAAGCCGGATTTTGCAATCCGGTCGTCAAAAATTTATAATATATAAATAAAGCGCCCGTCGTACCAGGCGTTGGAGCGAGTCAGGTGAAAAATCATTGTAGGAGATGCAAAATTTCACCTCGTTGACGATATGTTTCACTGCCATATTGTTATAGCATCTTTTTTTAACTATCCCCGAGAAACCTACAGAGCCAGATTTTGCAGTGAGGCTGTGAAAAATATATCGACACCGAAGGAACGACACCGCCACAGAGGACGTAATCAACGTAGAACGGCATCCGGCCCAAAGATATAGTGCGACTTATGGAGTGACGAGCGTGCAGACGAGGAAGAGGAGCAGGCCCAGCAAGACCCGACATAAGGTATATAGCACTGTTGAATAAACACGCAATATTTACAAGATATTGTGAAAATATAGATGTTGAATATTTCGTAAATATTCTAATGTCCGACATTTTCAGGCATGAAAAGGGTATGATAAATATCTAAACATATATGTCATACGTATGGTTTTAAAAAGAATTCCGATTTATAAAAGATGTATGAACAATATCATAAATATTTTTAGATATTTATCATATTTTTTCCATAGTTGAAAATCTCAGACATTAGAATATTTATAATATATCCAACATCTATGTTTTTAAAATATCTTGTAAATATTGTGTGGTATCTGAATAGTGAGGAGTGATACATCTGCTGGAAATATTTAGCTGAATTTCTCCCTCATATATGACACAATTTCAATATTATTTCGTTAATGGCTGCGTTCAGCAGAACAAAGTGATCAGTGAACGCTTAGTGATTATTTTGTCTGTGACTAGAGTATTCTTTTATATTTTTCATAGGCCCAGAAGTATTTGCCAATCAGGAGCGAGAATCACTAACCGTTCACTGATCATTTTGTTCTTCTGAACGCAGCCAATGTATACAGTTTTCTGTAATATTCAATGCATTTCACGGTATGTTGTTTAATATGTATTGAATATCACTGAAAAATGCCTACATTCATGAAATAATACAGAAATAGGGTCATGTAAGAGAGAAATGTAGCAAAGCATTTACAGCAGGGATCATTCCTCACTGATTACTGGTAGTAAAGTTATATGTTCTTCAATTTTTCATTTTCGTTCCCTGTATTTTATTTGACCTCATCTATTAATCGCGTCCGTCATATATATTAAAAAATATAAATAATTTCTAAATTTACAGATGCATGGGACGAGGATGAGGTCGAAGACAACACTCACGGTCGCAGGAGGTCGAGAGAGAGAGAGAGAGAGAGAGAGAGAGAGAGAGAGAGAGAGAGAGATGCAGGAATAATAATTACTTAACTGATATTAACTGCCGTAATTTTAATATTCACTAAATCTGATCATAACCCAGCAAACACAATATAACTGTTATATAACATATGTGTTATATAACAGTTATATTGTTAAATAGAAAATTACAACTAACATGCACGTTACATGTAATATTGTGTTTGCTGGGGATTTAATGATATTTCGTACAGTTAAGACTGCATATATATTTGCGCAAAAAGAATAAGCTATTCAAAGCAAATGTCATTAAATATTTTATTACCTGCGCCAATGTTTATTTGTTGCGCTATGTTTTATAGCATTGCTGTTATAAAAATGTATGCATAGCAGATTAATCTGTATATGACACATCTAAGATTTATATAATTTTTATTGTAAGAAATTATTAGGAGCGCAAAAAAGTTCTGAGCCTTTTTTTGCAAAATTCAAAATTTATTTAAAAACAAACAAAACTATATTAATCAACGAAATATTCCCCGTTTGCATCGATGACCTTTTGCCATCTTTCGGGCAGCTTGCGAATTCCCTGATGGTAGAAGCTCACCGGCTTCGAGGCGATAAAGTCATCAATGCATTTTCGCATCTCTTCAAGTGTCACAAAATGTGTATCAGCCAAGAAATGCTGCAGAGACCGGAATAGGTAGTAATCGGAAGGCGCCATGTCTGGGCTATACGCCGCGTGCAGGAGAAGTTCCCAGCCTAACGCAAAGATATGGTCCTGAGTCACTTTCGCAACATGTGGTCGGGCATTGTCATGAAGCAGTATCACTTTACGACGTCCTTTGCCAGTAAATGGCCTCTTTTCTTCAAACGCATCGCTCAAATTGCTCAATTGTTGCTGATAGCGATCTGCCGTTACTGTTTCACCCGGCTGTAACAACTCGTAATACAATACACCTTTCCAATCCCACCATATGCAAAGCAAAACCTTCTTGGCGTGGATATTGGTCTTTGGCGTCGATGTCGAAGGTTGACCAGGGTCAACCCATGATTTTTACGCTTCGGATTATCATAAAGTATCCACTTTTCATCACTTGTAATGATTTGGTGCAGAAAATCCTTTTTCCGGAACCTTGAAAGCAAAGTGAGTGCCGTGTCACGCCGTCGATTTTTGTTGTCTTCGGACAGTGCATGCGGAATCCATCTGCCTTCCTTTTGAACTTTTTCCATTGCACGTGTAAACGTGTGGAAATGGCTTGTCACGTAACGCCAAGTTGCTCTGCAAGCTCCTTTTCAGTTTGTGCAGAGTCTATATCCAACAATGCTTGCAGTTCGTCCGTTTCAATCTTTTGAGAGCGTCCAGCACGCGGTTCATCTTCAAGACTGAAATCTCCTTGGCGAAATTTTTGATACCACCTTTTACACGTAGCATAACTTACAGCGTTCTCTCCATATGCAACACAGATCATTTCAGTGGCTTCAGCAGCATTTTTCTTCAGATGAAACACGAAGTGGATGGAAAATCGAATATGCTCTTTTGTTATTGCCATCGTGAACACTGCTGATTTTAAGGTTATGTGCATCAAACGCCAAATCGCACAATGTTTCGAAAGACCAAATGTCACTGCTTTAAAACCGCAAGAGGGCGGGAAAATTAATGCAATTTAAATTGTGGTTTCAGTAGTATGAAATCTAGGGCTCAGAACTTTTTTGCGCTCCTAATATATTATTTTATATTGTTTTTAAGTAAATACATCCATCCCAGATTCTTTTCTACATTACGCATAACATTTACATTTATTTATATACGTTGGATTAGTATTACATATGTTGAAATTCGTAAACATCACAATACAGGTTGCGTGAAAAGTTCGCGGAGCGGCATCTATAAGTAAACGGTAGAATTATAAATTGTAGTCGGTTACATAGAATCACTCTTCACATGAACCTAGGTTAGGTTTCATTTCCATCTGTCAATTTTTTCTGTGTTTACAAGCCAATTGAAGTTGACGTGTCAGTATATTTGTTTGCAATCGAAAATTTGAAACAGCGTGCAGTGATTGAGTTCTTTGTTAAAAAAGGTTTAAAGGCAATGGAAATTCATTCCGAGATGGTAAATGTGTTAAGGGAATCTGCTCCTTCAAAAACAATGGTTTGTAAATGGGTACTTGAGTTTCAACGTGATCGTACAAGCATTGAAGATGATCCACGCAGTGGACATCCAAAAAGCACATCAACACCAGAAATCATTGATTGAAATATATGTTATTGTTTCTGAAGATCCAAGTGTGACTACGCGTGAAATTGCTCATACCATAGACATTTCAGATGAACAGGTACGGTATATTTTGCATAAAGAATTACAAATGAAAAAGGTGTTTGGAAAAGTGGTGCCGCATACGTTAACAATTCAACAAAAACTCGCTCGAAAGCAAATTTCTCAGCGTCATTTGGATCGTTTTAAGAAGAATAAAACCGATTTTGTGCGTCGTTTTATAACTATGGATGAGACTTGGATCTATCACCATGATCCTAAATTGAAACAGGAACGTTTACAGTCGACTGAAGCTGGATGTTCAACTGCAAAGCAAACAAAGCATGAAAACTCGGCAAAAAAAGTTTTGGCATCAGTTTTTTGGGATGCTGAAGGGATTTTGTTAATTGACTATCTGGAAAAAGGTAAAACAATTAACTCTGAATATTATTGTAACCTTTTGGATCAATTGGACGCAAAAATTCGTAAGAAAAGACCTGGTTTGCAGCACAAACAAATCATTTTTCACCAAGACAACGCACCTGCTCACACAAGTGTTTTGTCAGTGTCTAAATTCAATGAATTGAAGTACAAATTGCTTGATCATCTATCGTATTTGTCAGATTTGGCACCCAGCGACTTCTATCTGTTCCGAAACCTGAAATAATTCCTCCGTGGAAAGCATTTTTTATCGAATAAAGAAGCTATAGAAGCCATAGAGGCATATTTCGTAGACCTTCCAGAAACACACTTCCGCGATGGAATAAAATTATTGGAGAGCCATTGGGCCAAGTGTATTGAAGTTAATGGAGACTATATTGAAGAATAAAATCATTTTTAGAATTTGGTATTCTTTATTTCAGTTTCGCTCCGCGAACTTTTCACGCAACTGTATATCAATAAGATATTTCTCAGATGTCAGTCGATTTCTAACTTACGGAATGTCCCATTAATTCCGAATAATTCATCCGCATTTATTACGTGATCAGTTCGTAGAGATTCGTTGCTCTTAACTTTTTCTTGCTCCAGTAACCATTCCCTTCGTTCCAACAATTTCGCATGCCACATATCTGGAATAAGATAACATCAAAATAAGGTCATAAAATTTCAAGCTATCTTCCTATGTTCAAATAATGATTATTTCAATTTTTTAGTCTATAAATATTAATGGATTTATATATTATGAAGGAATGAATAATTATTGTTATTAGATATCGAAGAAGGGCAGACATGATTTTTCATAAAAAGGAAAACTGAATGGAAAGTACTATACTTTTGATCTGCGCGATCTGACTCTTTTATACACATTTAAGTTGAAATTATAAAATTATTAAGAAATTTATGTATTCGTAATATCGATCTATGCAGTACCTGTTAGAGCTTCCAATGACGGTTCCTCACCGCCATAATCCGCGGGTAAATTAGATTTTGATATTATTTCATATATTGATTCTATTCCGGATTCGAAAACTTTCACCTAAAAATGTCACCGTTGGTCAAAATCTCACAATTTGATTTAAAAACTAAATGTTTGCATAATGACAATTAGCATAATCACAATTACAGATTTGAATTTTTTGAATATTTGTATTATCATTTTGTACTTACTCTCTCATAAATTTTTGGACTCATAAACGCTTTTATTAACTGTAAGAATCTACCGATATAAGATGGTGCGTTTATTATTTATATAAATTTCTTTGTACCTCAAACCGTATGCTTCCTGAACAGTTTGAACAAATCACAAATTAATTTGACCAAGACATTATATAGTGTATGTGAGGTGCGGTTACTTACCAGGCAAAGGTTATACTTTCTTATAAGGCTTGGTGTGTGTTTAAGCAAATGATTAAAAGTAAAATAAGCAAAATCAACTATTATAATATCAGAATTTACCATGTCTTCCTCTATACGTATGTCTGTTAACATGCATGTGTATCTGTAACGTGAAGAAACAATACAATACATATCTTTCATCGATTTTATTTTATTTTTTCATTTTCAATGAATTTGTATATTCTATGGACTTGTCTTACGTTCGTAAAATCGCAACGAGAAAATCTATTTAATTTTTACGCTGACCTAATTTTTATTATAATTGATAATTCGAAAAAAATACAATCAATAGAGATGTACATTCTTTATAATTCTTTATAACCTTCTTTATAATTCTTTCTGTCAGAAACAAATGTTATTCGTTAAATTCGTGACATGATTTGTCCTGAGTTTTTTATGTTATTCGAAACTGCGGATAAACAAAAGCATGCGCGATAAATTCTACGATTTAAATAGCTTCGCGAATTTCTCGCGTTTTCCCTTCTCATATCGTTTCGCCAAAGTCACCGATTTCAGTTTTCCTCTCAATATGCATCGCTAGGTAGAGTGTAACTGTAGCGGTAAAGAGAGATGATAAGTGTGGAAGTATCTTGTTTCTATCTCATTATCGATAATAGCAGATGAGCGGGAATGAGGAGGGGCGGGAGGAAGACAGACAAAGGAGATTGCGTGTTTAGTTTTACGGAAATAGGAAAGGAGATTAGAAGGAAAGACAAGCAGAGGAAAGAAGAGAGTAGGTTCCAAAGACTGCGTAGAGGAAGGTAACGAGATTGATCCGCTGTGATTGTGTCGGCCAAATGGCGTCCCGTGAAAACGCTTGACAATTATTCACGAGTGCGTAATAACGATGGCGTTAAATAATAATTTCGTCGGCATCGAGCGCGAGCACCGCGTGGATTTCGATAGTATGGAATGTTTATAAGGTCGCATCAAGCTCCGCCAGATTTTGTTTTCTTTTTGTTCTTCTTTCTTTTATCATTGTTACCCGCTACCGTTGTTTCTTTTGTAGCTTCAAGCGATGACATATACATTGTCGGCCGGGTGGTAAATGCAGCGTGTATTTAAGCTCACTTTTATCTGGGGACTTACTAAGAGTGATAGTAACTCTTATGTTGTATGACGGTATATCTTTGGGACCGGAAAGGTGCGATATATTTGCGAGATAAAACTTCAATGTCTCTAAGATATCGATAATACATATGTACTTGTTTTTATAATTTGTTTCTACATACTTTATTACATCCGCGAGATGAAAGATAGAAGCGTCTTCGCTTATAAATCGGAAAAAACTGATTCGATTTTTTTCCGGCGTCAGCTTTGGTAGAATTACCCATTGTCTGCAAGAAATTATGTATTTATGAAGACACGTTCAATACAAACAAAAGGAATTGATTTTTCAAAGATAATAAATTTGCAATTATTTTTCATTTTTTTTATTAAATAGTTTTTTTCACCTACTCTTGCACTTTGTTTTATAAAAAAGAAATATTCCTAGTTATTTCATAAAATATACAGTTGCAACTTGTAGTGGTGAGAGGTAAGAGAATATTTTTTTCAAAAAGAAATAGAGATCATTTTGAAATTTTTAAATGATGCTATGCACTCTTTTTTTACATAATATATCACGTTTGTGATAGTGCATTAAATTCATTTTCGATTCATTTCGATCCTTTACAATATTATGAATATATTATAAAGAAGAAAACATGGTATCATTTTCTTGGCAGATTCACAGTGACCTTGATTTCCTTATGAAAAAGATATTTTTTATCTTTTGTCATTGCAAACTGTAATTTACATAAAATGGTCCAAAATTTGTCTTGCAACCGTTTCTTTAAACCGTCGAAAATATTTAAAAAATCGTACGAACTATTATACAGAACATCCAGTATGAATAATATAATTCACTTTGAAGAGTAAGAAAATTCAGTTTTAGATAAAAATTATCCGAAGCGAACGCGTTAGTGTTCATTTATAAATATAAATATTAAATATTTCTGATTTATTTTTCAATATACATTTTCAATATTACGTCAAATTTTAATTAGTGTTTTTGTTAGATCAGTGTCTCTGATACTACTTTCGTACGTAAAATTTTGTTAAAATCACTATAAAAAATATAGTACGTAGGCTGCTGGAAAAGTTTCTGCAAACGAAGTAGAATAGTAAGGCCGGTTCTAACTGAGGAGTGCTAAGGGGGACGCGGGGAAGCGAGGAACTCAAGGCGCGGGGTATGACATCGCGCGGTGAAGGGGAACTCATGGTGGGACGTCATGCAAGATGGCGACCGTGACGTCACGCGAAAAAAAATGTATTGGGATGTAGGTAGGACACGAACCCGGGCCCTCGGCGGTTACTACCCAATGCTCCAAAGCTCCTAGAACACCGTTGCCTATTACTATTAGACGTCTAGTAAAGGTTCTTAGAGTGGGCATGATGACTTCACGAGAGAAAAAACTGTTGGGATGCTGCTAGACTCGAACCTGGGCCCTCGTGGTTACTACCCAATGCTCCAAAGCTCCTAGACCACCGTCGTTTGTTGCTAGTAGGCATCTAGTAAAGGTTCTTAGATTGGGTATGATGACGTCACGAGAGGAAAAATAAGTCGAAACTAGGTCAGACTCAAACCCCAGGCCCTTCGTTTACTGCGCCATATCGAACGTCTATCGAACGTCTATCGAACATCTATTGAACGTCAATCGAACATCTCTCGAACGTCTAATAAACATCATATCGCAAATAAAGAAGTATTTTTATCAACACAATTACCATATAAAATCCTAAGAAAGGGGATAAGGGAAAATTGGAAGAAACATCTGTACATTTGAAATAATGATTTATTATATAGCGTCGTACAATTTTCTTCGAGACCACCAATTGAAAATATTTAGTACATTCTGTAATGCGCAATTTTTCATATGATTATTACATCGAAAAGTATTATTCAATTTTTGCAAGGAAGGCATATTGTCGTAATCGGTGTCCATGGTCTTAATCATCACGCTGCTTCTCGCATTGTCATCCAGAAGTTGTAACAGCCATTCCCGCTTCTCATGTCCCTTCACATACACAAATTGAGATGCATCGTCTTCAAGCTCGTCATACATATCACCCGCCACAGCTGCAGTAACCAGACGTTTAGCTCTGCAGTATTTGACGGTTCCATCTTCCCATCGGAATCCATGATGATTAGCAGTTAACCAGTAGGCCCTCGATTTGTCCGATCTTGTGAGCAGATGCCATGGCATCGGACTCGTGAAGATGTAGTGCGAAAGAATAGTTCCGTTCTTCAGTATCGCCGCTTCTTTTACAATAAATCTCTTTCCAACCATGAATCCTTGTAAGTCGACAAATGTCGGAACATCCATGGTGAAATATTCTTCGACACGCCCAGGAGAGAAATGCCGTTTATAGCACTTTCGTGTATTATTCTTTTCTCATATATACTTTCTAATATTGAGTTGAGTTTGCGCACTATGTCGGTTAGCGGGCTACTACTCATTCAACTACACGATCATGCAGGATGAGACAGTACGCAGTAGTATTCGCCGGTATATTCTCCTTACACTCAAATTCTATCCGCACATCCACAGTAGTACTCTTGACGGACTCATATTGACGCGAACAATCGATCACCATGAAAAGACCTAGCCACAGAAAATCGGTAGTTGTGAACCATACCTCAGCACTGTCGCATCCATAATACGATTTACGAAAATGTCTATACATATCGTAAAGTATTGCGTATTTATTTTTTGCAAAGTCCAAATTCATGTCATCGTACGGATAACACTGAATTCAGATAGAGCTTCGTGTTGATCAATTTGCAGTCATCGTAACAAGTTATATTTTCTGACATGACATTCTTTCGGCCAGTCTGCAACGCAAAGATAACGTATCGAGGTTTTTCTAAATTAGTAGCAGTTTTGACGGTCCACTGGTGTTTGGTCGTGCTTTGCAGTAGAGGAAATTCATACAGATCCCACGAGCGGAAACTCATACTCAAGTATTGTCCGTTCTCCAAAGTTTTCAGCATGGAAAGTTTATTGATATCGTTCAAAATTACGTGAGGCATTCGCCATTGTATCTTGAATAGCTCAATCTTAGAATCCAACGCTGGAGATCCTAGTAGACTGTTGTTGTCGCTGCGCGATCGTAATAGAATCAATTCGTGACGCGCGTTAATCACTATACGTTTGTAGTCTTCACAGAATCCTAGCAAAACGTTGAGCGGTACGCAAAAGTTGAAGTACCCGTATCCGGCGAAATAGTGTCAGTCGTATCCCACGCGGCATTTTTCATGATGACATTTTTGTCTGAAGATATCGATACATAGTTTTTGAGCGTTGAAGTTATTATTAAGGTCAAACCGGACTTCTTCAGGGCTGAAAATCCATACTTTTGACCTAAAAGTGTCAAGATTGAAAAATTTTACGTTCGAATATGACGTTCTCAACCTTGACCTTGTTCTCAAAATTATACATTTTACGTTATTTCACTGATCGTGAAGTCTACTGAAAGTAAAGCGTCTCGGAACCCGACCACTGAAGGCAAGGTGTCCCAAACCCGACCACTGAAGGCAAGGTATCTCAAACCCGGTCACTTAAGGCAAGGTGTCTCAAACCCGATTACTGAAGGCAAGGTGTCTCAAACCCGACCACTGAAGGCAAGGTGTCCCAAACTCGACCACTGAAGGCAAGGTGTCTCAAATCTGACCACCGAAGGCAAGGTGTCTCAAACCCGGCCACTTAAGGCAAGGTGTCTCAAACCCGACCACTGAAGGTAAGGTGTCTCAAACCCGACCACTAAAGGCAAGGTTCAGTTAGTCCCGGCCACCGAAGGCAAAA